GTATGCGTCATGGCTTCGACGCTGTATTATATGAAATAAAATTTGGTTAAAGTAAGCTAGTCCATGATTAAAACTATTTTAATTTGTATATGGAGCAGATAAACAAGCTATTCATCTTTCAGTTTCTGTGTGGAGTGGAATTTACGAATGTTACAATACGTTGCAGTATATTATAGTTCTAAGGCAAAATGGTGCCTTTATACTCATTTATATTAAGGCAGTGGCTATTGTTACGACGAGTCGTAAAAATAGTCCTCAGACTATTGTTACGACGATGCATTCACAGCCCTCCATCGGCGAAGTTGAAAACTGAATAGTCGTAAAAATAGTCCTAACTCTAACCCTAACCCTTCCCATCTATTAATTGCTGCCTTTAGTTCTGAAAACGTTGAAAATACTGCTCCTTTATCAAAGCTGGTGTTGGGGAGATTGGCAGCCATTTTGGAATTCGTTCTAAAGTTGGCTCAGACTCGTCGTAACAATAGCCACTTTGTTACATTAAATAGGAAATAATTTTATCCAGATATACTTCAATCACCTGTTTTTCTTATATTTTTCTAATGCTTAAAAAAATGTTCTAGACCTCCCTTTACTTAGTGGGGCCACGGTGGCTAAGTGGGTAAGACGCTGGCCTTCTAGTCTGGAGGTCGGATGTTCGATCCCTGCATTGGCCGAGAAAGTTCATCCTGATTTTTCCGGCGTCGTTCCCCCTTGTCATTGATGCAGGACGTGGGGGCCTGACAATGAGACGAAGAAACGAGGTCCCGTATACACATTGGTGTGCACGTAAAAGATCCCTTCAAGTAGTAGGCCGTAGTGCCGCTGTCCGGACAAAACTTCTCTCATAGCACACTGTATGGCGTATGCCCGTCTTAATTAGCCCAGTTCGGAAAAGTAAAGTAGGACCACTGTTAAAATTATTATGTATTTTTACCCTTTTTAGACTGGCAGAAATGTTGCCATCATTATAACTGTATTTTAACATTGTATGTTATTTCACTTTCTATAATGTAACTTTACCTCTAGCTATTATACATCCATGGTAAAATTACATATCTGTAAATGGAGTACATGTAAACATACCATAAATCGGTACATTAACATTAAAAACATAAATATATTGTGTGTTTTGACAGAGTTTATGTATTAATACCTCATAACTATTGTAGAATTACATATTATGTAATTTGCCATGGTAACATTACTAAAAGGAATATGTTTGTCCCCGCTTGGCTAATTAGTCCTAGGTTCGATCCAGGCGAACACGGAAAGTTTTGCGGACCTTTCAGCCGAGCATGTAAAACAACATTCGATAATGTAAAGAAATTCGTTCGTTCGTTCGTTCGTTTCTAGAGTTTTACGTCCACTTCTACCTAAGGTGATATCGTAGACAAGGTAAATTTTTTAAATGAAATGGGGTCTAATGTCTTGTGTGTGTGAGTTAGTTAAATTTTACGTCCGCTTCCACCGAGGTGATATCGCAGACAATCTAATGTCCTACTGTTCTGCTCCTTACAATGGAAAGAGTAAGTGACATGACACCGTCCAAGCAAAATGTCCCACACAATCCAATGTATTGCATATGCATGTCTTTCTTAGCCAGTTTGTTGGTGCATTCAGATTTTGGATAACCTATTTCTTCTCTAAAATGGACTAAACTGACTGAAAAAAACAGTAAATATTTTGCACAAAATTCGATATTTAGTCGAAGGGGGAATAACCGATGTTACCACTATTTGACAGTAAATTTAAAATTTCTGTTAAAGGAGCTAAATAGCTTATATTTTGGATCTAGAAATTGACACAAATGGCCGGGTCGACAACGCATATAATAATGTAATGTGAATGTATATAAACTGATTTACATTCAATCGTTTCTGTTTTTATTGCAATTTCTAATCAGTTATGTTCGGCGAAATACGCCAGAAGTATCAATCGAATGGCAATCTCTAGCGTCTGGTTATTCAACTCTATACCGATAGTACTTATTGCGCATGCTATCCAGATAATAATATGACGTCACCGATTGACATGACTTGTGGAATATATCTAGCCTCTTTCTACGAGTCCCTTGTTTAAAATAGCGCTGAAATGCACCATGGTACTCGTGTACCAATGGTAAAATGTTTATCTTGTCTTAGTTATTGGATATCAGAAGCCCATCTTTTCCTCGTAAGATCACAACATCAACGTTGATTTAAAGCGACAAATAAATCGTGTTTTCAATGTCGATGATTTTGGATGATATTGAGTTAGAGACTTAGCTACTTTAACATACAGCTCATATAATGTAAACTGGCATATGGTTGTATAACTACATTGAGTTTGATGTAATCTTACATCTTTGTATCCATATTCATTTACCTCGTTTTAAATGTAAGTTAACAAACCATGTGATCTGGCAAATCCTGCACTGTATTTTTACTATACTTATAACTGTAAATATACATATAATTTTAACAGTAACGTTAAACTCCATATTTCATTTCAATATATTACTTAATGTCTCAAATATCGAGCATTAAACCACACATAGCACGTGTCATTAACAGTATATCTATTATATCTATATGTTTTATATACCTGGGGTAACCAATATACGTGTTTATAAACAAAAAATATCTACTATGGACGTATAATAAAGGCTATTTTATTTCAAGCTTTGTATGTCCAAAAATAGTATACTATTTTTGCTAAGTAAATAAAGCAAGTGGTCGTCTTGTTAAACCCTTCTACTACTGGTCACTCAATACAAACTAAGAAATTAAATGAAATGAGTGGGGGTTTTTTCTGCACCGACATCGACCTTTTCTTATTACAAATTCCAATTGGCAAGTGTTCTTTTACTTGCACGCGCATGTGTACACGGGAATCGCTTTGTCGACCCATCCGAACGACGTTTGAAAATTCCGAGAAACTCTCTCGGCCAACTCTTGGTTAACGAGCTTGCTCCTTACTTCCTGATCCACCGCGGCTCCCACCAAACAAAGACATGTCGGAACTTAAATATATTAAAATCGAATGTTTTTTCTATTCACTTTTCGTTTCGTTTCGTTTCCTTTTCCGGAATTTTATCGATGTTTCAAACATTTGGCAAGTCTTTTTCAATAATATTTTATACAATATAAGGCCTAATAACAAATAATAATACTTAGCCATAGTCTGAAGGATACGACAGGAAAATGGTGTTTGAAATGAAATGAAATGACATGGGGTTTAACGTCCTACTGTTTTGCTCCTAAACTGGGCTAATGAAGACGGGCATACGCCATACAGTGTGCTATGAGGGAAATTTTGCCCGGGCAGCGGCGCTACGGTCTACTCTTATATCGAATTCCAACTGCCAAGGGATCTTTTACGAGCACGCCAATTTGTACACGGGGCCTCGGTTTTTCGTCCCATCCGAACGACTAGATAGCTGTCCTTGTCAGACCCTCCGTCCTGCATCACTGACAAGGGGAAACCACGCCGGAAACTCTGGATGAACTTTCTCGGCTAATGCAGGGATCGAACACCCGACCTCCAGGCTAGGAAAATAGGGTTTATGTCGCTTCGTGATATAGGGTTAAATCTGTTTCACATGGCCGCCAACAGATTTCGTCATAGGTCACGAGACGTAAATTCCTAAACCTAACCCAAGGTCTAGCCCCAACCCTTACCCTAACCCACAAACCTCGGTAACAATCACTTGCCCTAACCTTGTTTACATCTCGTGACCTTGGGGAAATCTACAGGTGGCTATTTGAAATAGACCTGACCGTGATATAGCAGTTATTATTAATCAGTTAGAGTTCATAAAAGGTCAGCAGACTGAACATTACTAAAACAAAACGAAAAAAAAAGAAGAAAAAAGCGACGGCGATTTTCCGGCCATGATAAACGGAAGTGAATAGTACTTTAATATTAAAGCGCAGAAATGTACGGGACAGAGAGCGAGAAATGGGATTCAACGTCCACTCGAACACAAACTAGGTGATTTCGGGACTAACATATGGTTTAATTTTATTTCAATAATTCGCTTGCACGGAGGACCCGGAGAAAACCCACGAGGTTGGACATGCGACCCTACTCCCTGTCAAGTACAGCCGGGAAATCGAAACCACGTCATATCGTATGGTCGCCTTCATTATCTCGTTTGGTGCGGAAAAGTAGGACGTTAAACCCCCATTTCAAAAAGTTTGATTTTAATTTGTTGACTGTTTAGTAGGAATGCAGGAAATAGATTTACATAGATTTACAAGGGGGTCTTAGCCCAAACGTCGCTTGATCGGTCACTGCATCGGGATGTTCCGACGTGGTTGCCCCTTTGTCAGTGGTGCAGGAAAGATGGCCTGGCAAGGGACAACGTATAGTCGTCGTTCGATGGAATGAAAACTCGAGATCCCGTGTACAAATAGGCATTCACGTAAAAGATCAAATGGACTTCGATATAAGAGTAGGTCGTAGTGCCGCTGTCCGGGTAAAATTTTCCCCATAGATCGCGGTCTTCATTATCCCAGTCGGAGCAGAACGTTAAATCCCATTTCATTTCATTTCCAAACGTCGCCCAGTATTAAAAGGTATTTTTTTTACATGTATATAATGTCTCATCATATTTTATCATGGTTGATAAAGACTAAAAGAATTCTAGTGTAAGTGTATTCCACTACTATGTCCACCAAGCTTATCTCATATTGTGGTTTAAGACAGGGCATCTCTAAGGCGCTCTCTTTGAAGGTATGTAACTTGTGAGTGCTGATAAGACAAAAACTAACAAATATTTAAAACTATGTCTAAACACATTGCATACCAGAAACTATCCCTTAAGCCATGCCCTTAAGTAACCGTCCGCCTTAACTAATTAACAGCAAAAAGAAAACTTTCCGTTTGAAGAAACTATCTAAAATAAAATTAAATAAATAAACAAATCGCCCCTACATGTATACTGAATAGCAAGCAGATGATAAGAAAATCTATTTCGGAGAAGATATATTTGTAAAAAAATGAGATTATCGCTAACAAAGATATCTCTCTCACGTCCACGATCGAGTTGAGCCGCTGTTTATTTATTTATAATAGAGTAACAACAGTTGGATAGCCTCATAGGTTTAATAACAGCTTGTGGAGTAACTGGGGAGAAGAACGGCACCAATAATATCCATGAAATTAATTCCGTGAGTACAATATTTAGTATACCTATTGTATAGCTTATATAGATCGTTAAAACTAATACTTTTCTTGGTTTCGTACATGTCACTTCAAATTGTCACAAGAACGTAGAGAATAGTCTATTTTATAATTCACCAGGTGAAAAACGGTTCCATTATTATATCCATGAAATTAATTCCGTGAGTACAATATTTAGTATATATACACCTATTGTATAGCTTATATATATCTATAAAATAAACACTTTCCTTTCGTTATGATTTGGTATATGACATTTCAATTTGTCACAAGAACATAGGGAATAGTCTATTTTACAACTGACCAGTTGAAAAACGGTTCGGTTATCATAACCATGAAATTAATTCCCTGAGTACCTATTTGGAATATCTAGTAAATATACATATTATACCTATAGTTTAGCTTATATAAATCTACTAATACTTTATTATCGATATGTCTTGGTACATGACACTTCACGAACCTAGAGAATAATTTATTATATAACTGACCAGGTGAAAAAAGGTACCAATATCCTATCCATGAAATGAATTCCGTGAATGAATATTACAAGATTTATATGCCTATTTACCAGATTGAGTTATGTAACAATTGTACAAGTTTCTCTGTAGAATTTATATCTGTACAAGGAATATTTTCTTATCGGTTTGATTTAGTACATTACATTTAAAACTATCGCCTAGAGAATATTCTATGTTATAACAGACCAGCTGGAGAACGGTACCGATACCCTATTTATTAAATTAATTCTGTTAATGTCTATTTACAAGGTCTAGCATATATGTCTATTTACAAGATCTGTGGTATATATTCCTATTTACAAGATCTGGGGTATATATATATCTATTTACAAGATCTGGTATATATTCCTATTTACAAAATCTGATATATATGTCTATTTACAAGATCTGGTATATATGCCTATTTACAAGCTGCTTACTGTATAACTTACTCTGTAGAATGTACCTATCTATATTAGAACTAGTTTATTATCAGAATATTTAAAATCCAATCTCTTAGATTTATCATGAACACCCAGAGAATATAACCATAATTAGAATGAACGTAGGCCTTTATTGTCCTTTTATAGATTTAATAATATTTCATTTCAATAACGGGATAATTTTATCCTCATAATTAAAAATTCGAATGACAAACGAGGCAAAGAAAATATTACAATTTTTTTTAATTTTTATATAAGATATTATTTTAAAAGAAAACAGATAATATATGGGTGTAAGCTTTTAAATATAATTTTTAAATATTTTTTTTATATATATAAAAATCTAATTTAGTATTATTAATAGGTATCAGATTAGATATTATAGGTTTAATATTTAACCATATTGTATAGTTTTTGTATATAGATATATAATAATACTTCTTATAGATAAAATATAATATAGGCCTAAGATTTTAAACATACATTATGCAAGGTCTCTTTAGACCTGAAATGTTATCTGAATTATTAATTAGACATTAATTGACTTGATAAGACCATAATCAACTCTCGATGTCATCGCTAGCCTGCAATAATTACTGGATTTGAATCCGATCTGCAGCTCAACGCTCATTGATGATTATTGATTACATCAAAAAGTGGATAATCGAGACTATGTTTTTTTTATCGTACCGACTTTAGCAATGATGATCGAGGCTAGGCTTAAAATTAAAAAAGCTAATATCTCGGTTCAGATTGGAGCAATTTGACTGAAATTTTTAGAATATTTCCTTTACATTATCTAGTTTTTAACTATTATAGTGAGAACTGCCAGCTCTTTATCTAATCTCCAACAATACCCCTTTAAATATATTTTTATATTCTTTTAAATATAAAACTCTAATTCAGTACCATTAAGAAGAAGAATGTTGTATTAAGGTTTTTGGGTAAAATAGCGGTATACCAATATTAATTGTATCAATATATGACCAGTGTGTTTGTCTATCTACAGACTTGTTTGGGTTTTACTCTCTGCGGTGAGTGAACTGACGTCTGCGGACAACTTTGAAGTATGGGGTAGCTGGTACGGTGGTTTTCTAGGCCAGGTCTGCTTTACAGCGCCACCTCATTTAAAAGGATGGCGGTTACTTGTAAGATTCAGGAACGATGTGGAAGGAATTACCGTAAGTATAACTATAGATTATTGTCTTCAATTTATCTACGGTCAATTCGTTATCTATGTATTTTCTTTTTTCAATTTTAGGGGGTTGGGTGTCCGAATGGTTTAAAGCGTGGGCTTTAGATTATGGGGTGTTGGATGGCCGAATGGTTAGCACGTGCGCGCTGTATCATAAAGCCTGCTATTGAGTCAACTGGCGTGGTTTCGAATCCCCGGTTGTACGTGACAAGGAGTAGGGTCGCCTGTCCAAACTCGTGGGTTTTCCCCGGGTCCTCCGGTTTCCTCCCACTGATAAAGCAGATTATTGCGAATTATTGAAATAATATTAAATTATGTTAGTCCCGAAATGACCGAGTTTGTGTCGAGTGGACGTTAAACCCCATTTCTCTCTCTCTCTTTAGATCATAAGGTCTGTGATTGAGTCACTTGGTGTGGTTTCGATTCCCCGCTAGTACGTGGCAGGGAGTATGGGGTCGCCTGTTCAACCTTGGCGACTTGATATTCACAATATCCCCACATTAGGGTTGTTACAGTCTTCATCCAAAGTCTTTGACATGGAAAACACGAATTATTTGTCAATTCAAATCAACATGGATGTTGTGATCTTACCGGGTAAAGATGGGTTTCTGATATCCAATATTTAAGACAAAATAAACATTTTACCATTGATACACGAATCGTGTATCATAATGCGTTTCAGCGCCATTTGTAACAAGGGAGAGCAAGTGCAATAAATACTATCAGTGGAGACTGGAATAACCAGATGCTAGAGGCTGCCATTAGATTGAGACTTCTGGCTGAACATAACTGATTTGAAATTAGAGTAAAAACAGAAACGATTGAATGTAAATCAGTTTAGATACAATCTGATTACATTATTATACGCGTTGCGATCCATTTGTGTCAATTTCTAGGTCACAAATATCAGCAATTTAGCTAGTTTAAATACATGTATTTTTCTTTTGAAGACTTGGAATTCCTTCTTGGAAAGGAAAGTTGATAATCGAAATTTTATTCTTCGAAACAACTTTTTTAATGGTACCCCACAACCTGGTACTAAGATATGTTGTGTCATCGAGGGTCGAACCAAGAACAGCATCAAACCGGAAGCTGTAGTGTTCTTGAGTGATACCTCGAGAACCGTCACCACAAACAGACGCCCAACAACAGCAACCAGACGCCCAACAACAACAACCACACGCCCAACAATAGCAACCAGACGTCCAACAAAAACCAGGCGTCCCATAGCAAAACCAGCTCCAATGCCACCAGCCAGTTCAGGTTAAATTTTTATTAGTATTAAAGATACATTTAGGGGCACAAAAACCCTCGGTATGCAGCGTTAGGGGATGTCAGGGGGCGGGACGTGGTGTACCATGCGATTTGCGAGGGGGCGCAAAAAATTAAGGGGGCGCAAAAACTCAAAACCATGACGCAAAGCTCGTTGATACGTCCCTCTCACCTAGCCCCTGAATACATTATATAAAGTTTAGATAAATCGATGGTCACTATTGCTACACCAGTTTAAAAACAGATAATGAAAAGTCAAATTATTTTATTCTGAGTGAAGTTATGAATGGTTGAAGTCTTGACAAGAAACCGCGTTGATAGTACAATTGTTACTAGTCTCGGTTTTAAATTTTATCGCTCAACGAAGACATGGCAGACACGTTACCATCTCAGCCATCCGGTGTCTAGAGAGTTGATTTTGGGCTTGCCATGTGAATACTTGCCTAAATGATAACTTAAATAATTTAAATAACATTTAAGGCAACAAAAGACCTGCAATAAGCAGATTTAGTTCTTACATATTAACACATTATAGCTAGTCTGTGTATATACACACTAACCCTAACCCTACACACTGGACTGTGTGGGAGTCTATGGTCCGTATTAAACATTCATACCGCTGACTGCTGAAACTGAACAAAACAACGACTCATAACTCAAGATTCAAATTTTCAACAAAACAAAAAAGAATTTGGTACAGTGATGGGCCTCTCTTCAGTGATACCTGCCGCGCCTTTTTATCCCAATTGAAACTTTCTGAGAGCACGTCTTTTTTATTTCTCAGAGCACGGACAGGCCCCAAGGCACGTTAAAATAGTCTTTGCCAGGCAATGATAAAATATAAAATGAGACAGGACATTATGAAGTGGAGTTTAACGTCCCGCTGTTCTGCTCCGAACTGAGCTAATGAAGACGGGAGGGGGGGGGGCATTATGTAAATACAATATTTAGGTAATGATGATCAATCATCAGACATGCCAATGATTACCTTGAAAGAAACCTAACTTAATCAATCTTAAATTATTATAAAAATGATTATAAGGTTTACTAAGTGAAATGAGATGGGTTTTAACGTCCCACTGTTCAGCTCCGACTGGATAAATGCTATAAAGGCTTAGTAATTGTACTTTTCTTTTCCGAATAATTTTTATGTTGATACCCTCAAGAGTTGTTTGTTTTTTTTTGGGGGGGGACATTTGCATGTTCGTCTTAACAGCATTAAAGGCTCCCGGGGTACAAAGCAGTGCACTGGGTCCCTACACATCCACTCACAGGAATAAAAATATAAATGGTTGATAAAAAAAAAATATATTTATTGTATTGCTACTTCTAACAAAATCAGTTTTTAAACAGCCAGCTAATTATGGTCACCAACGAACTGTCCATACAAAGCCTAGATGTGGTTGGTTTTTATAGATTAACAACAATATTGCGATCTATTATAAAATCTGCAGTAGGCCTTAGCTTTTAGCCCTAACCGTGTATGGGGTTATATGTTACTGTGTTAAAATGTACTGTGTTTGTCAGCTACCAATGTTTCGTGTAGACATTAAACAAACAATTTTCACTGGGCTATTGGACCAAAATACACAGATTGTTGTTTTAAAGAGTGGGTAGGTTCGGGATTATCGTTTAATCTCTTTACAATCAATTCTGTCGAGTTTAAAATAGTTGCTATTATCAGACACGTGACATGGTTTTATCTGTAGGACAGTGTGTCAAGGTCTGTTTTGCTGTAACCACGTAGGCCGCCAGATTAATAATTCTTTTACTCTAGTTTAGAAAAAGCTGTATTGCGTTTTTTTGCTAATGTCATTAAATGTAGGGGAAGTGGGTGGGTTAGGAAGGATGGGGGCTCTAATCATGGGTCTTGAAATATAACGAACTAACCGCAGGGCAAGAGATTATTTTCGAAAAAAATAAACCCCTTGTCCACGTGTAACCCCTAAACAGTAGGATACTTCTCATCAAGCCCCTTGTCCCCGTATAAACCTGACCTTATGCCATTAAATGGACGGAGCGTGGGGGGTAATCACGGGTCTTGAAATCGCATAATATAAATGCAAGAGACTATGTACGAAAAAAGAAGCTTTATTGTTATTTTTGGATTTCAGGGAATACACCAAATTATGCCGAGGTCTTGGGAAAATCCATCTTGTTTTATGAAGCTCAGAGATCTGGTGTTCTACCAAAGGACAATCGTGTTAAATGGAGAGGGGACTCAGCGGTTCATGATCAGGGTCTTCATGGTGAAGATCTGTCTGGTGGTTGGTATGATGGTAAGTCCTATATCTATATATCTGGTTCAATCAAGTCCTATATCTGGTTCAATCTGATTAAAATACAGATTTATATTTCGTTTCGTTTTTTTATAGTTCAAAATTTGGTTTTACTTTACTACATTAGGATCTGGAAGAGATCTAAATTTCGTTTCGTTTTTTTTATACTTTTGATGGCCTACTCAACATGAAGATTTGACCGGTTGTACTTGAAGGTCGCGTCAGGGGTCGCACGAGCGGCCTTTGACCCAATGACGTCAGCCATTGACGTTTCTAGTGGTATACAGTTCCGTGCATCGCACGCCTAGAACTCGCCGTAACAGACCGTTTCATTGGCTAATCCCTCACTTCTGCCAGAATGCCGGTAATATAACAACTCTTTCAGATCCTAGTGTAGTAAAGACAAGTAAAACGAAATTTTGAACTATAAAAATGAAACGAAATATGATCTGTATTTAATCAGATTGTATTTGGTTGGTATGTTGTTTTCATGCTAGACCCATGCGGGTCTTGTCGCCATTCGCGTTCTCTTCTGCTTCTTCTTCTTGAGGACAATTCGTTAGTCACCGGAATCATTATTTTATTACCGGAATACACCATTCATGACCGCATTCAGCCGTTCATGACCGCAACTAGACGATGATTATTCTAGATGTCTTTGTTTTTAGTTTAATTTATTGTTAGTTTGTCACCGGAATCTGTCGGTTATCTCCGGAATCGGGCGTTTATCCCCGGTATCTGTCGTTTATCTCCGAGAATCGACTGTTTATCCCCAGAATCAGCCGTTTATCTCCGGAATCGGCCGTTTATCTCCGGAATCAGCCGTTTACCCCCGGTATCATTGGTTTATCTCCGGAATCGGCCGTTTATCCCCGGAATTAGCCGTTTATCCCCGGAATATCAGCCGTTTATTTCCGGAATCAGTGGTTTATATCCAGAATCATCAGTATAAATGACCAATGACCGGGAATCAGCTGTTCATGAACACAGCTTGACGAATCTCGCTGGGAACCTCGGGTTTCTTCTAGACATATAATCGAACTTGATTCAATTACTTTTACAGCTGGTGATTATGTGAAGTTTAATCTACCTATGGCATCAGCTACTACCATGCTACTGTGGGGTCTCTACACATTCAAAGATGCTTATACGCTAACTAATGAATTAGACAACATGTACAAATCGGTCAAATGGCCACTAGACTATTTTCTAAAATGTTGGAACCCTAAAACACAGGAATACTATTATCAGGTAAACCTCATATTTAATATTTTTAGCCCATTGTACATCGTTTGTCCTTCCGTCCGCTATTTTCGACGTTTTGGGGAAGGGGGCATCTTTCAACGACTTCAATCAAATTTTGTGATATGTTGCGTGGGTGGTGATTAACCATATTATTATGTGGTGGTTGTGTAGAACACGCTAAAACACACGATATCATTTAAAGTAATATGTAGAGGGTCAGATGGGTCATTTGAATATTTTATGTTGAATTAGATGATGATTAAAAAAGAAAATATTGAGAATTTCAGTCAAATTACTTTATTCTGAAAAACGTTGTCACCGTTGGTGTTGAAGTTTGGGTTCAAAACAGGCATCAACTGTCTCCGCACCGAGTCCGAAATTTGCGATCGTTTGAATGTCAGACGATAACTCCACCCACATATTCTCAATTATCAAGTAACATTCTCAATGGCTACGGTAATTTCGAATGGCAGGCCGGTAGTAACGCCAGTGATTAACGGTAAATGTTAGCTTGGTCAGCCATTTATTGATGTAATTCTTAAATGGACGACTGTTTATATAGATCCAAGCTGTATCCAAGCCTTCCGAAAGTCTACAGGGTTAATTTTGAGCTTGCCATGTAAATAAAGATCTAATTATTCTTTTCTATAACAGCCTAAAGAAAGACTTGTAATAGGCATATTTGGTTCTTAAACATGCATTATGCAAGAGCTAAATCTGCCTATTGCAGGTCTTTCTTTAGGCCTGAAATGTTTTCTAAAGTACTAATTAGACATTAATTAGCTGATCCAGGCCTTAATCAACTCTCGATGGCATCAGATTTCTCCGATATTAAATAGATTAGAATGGTTCAGCGATACTTTGATTTAATCAAATATGGAGGACCGAGACTTAGCTTCGATCAACCAGTACGGTGGTTCAAATTATTGCACACGTCTGTCAAACCTTCAAAGGCTAATATCTTCGCTTGCAATAGAGTAATTTGAATGAAATTTTCAAATTATTCATTTTACATCATCTACTTTCGAACTATTATAGTAAGAATGGCTAGTTCTTTATCTAAATCTTACATAATGTATCTTTACCTAATGTATCTTTAACATGAAATTGATTATGGAGACCAGCCGTCTCTGATGTCCGATGAATCCATTATCGACACTGCGTGTGATTTAAAGATCTTTGACCCGTTTATCTTTCTTCAGGTAGGGAGCGGTAAACTTGACCATGATTACTGGGGACGACCAGAAGATATGCACATGCGTAGACCAGCAATGAAAGTAGACCGACATACACCAGGAAGTGACGTAGCAGGAGAAGCAGCAACTTCTTTAGCATTGGGGTCAATCGTCTTCCGACAGAAAGGTTAGTTTTTATCACGCTACATATATGGATTTGTTCCAGACTCTTTGATAAAGCCCTGAAGAGTAGTTGCCTAGTTAGTTGTAAATCGTCGTCTGAATCTGTTTTGTCATCTGGGGTTCCTCAAGGTTCCGTTCTTGGTCCGATTTTATTTACCCTTTATACGTCACCATTATATGATATTGTCAGAAAATATGGTCTCAGCTTTCATTTATATACCGATGATACTCATTTATATATTTCATTTATCACATATGTAATAGAACTGGTTAAACACGTTGCAAATATAATTTTATCACAGAGATCATTGCTATGATAGATGCGTAACGAAGATTTCAAGAAACGGAAGTGACGAAGGCAAAAGGAAATTTTCGTTACGCATCTGTCGTAGCAATTATATGTGTTAATATTATATTTGGGACGTGTTTAACCAGTTCTATCACATATCTGATATTGGCATACACTAATATTTTCCTTTAAACCTTAACTTGTTAATATAGATGTTTGTCTAAATCTAATACTTCTCTTTTTTCTTTTATTATTTATGAAGATAGTGCATATTCCGCCAAATTGTTGTCAGCCGCCAAAAGTCTTTACAAATTCGCCAAAGAGGTTCCAGGAAAGTATCCTCTGAAAGATTATTATGAGTAAGTTATTGATAATAAACCAAGTCAAACATTAGACAAAGATAACATTAACGATATAGATGTTGACCTTTAGACATTTCTAGTCATATTTCACCATTTCGGAATTTGAATCAACATCTACACATTATCTAACATACCATCTAGCGCTAGCCGCATTTATCTTTGGTAAGGCAACAAGCAGCCATCGATTTAGACTCTTAGAATCTTGCTAAGTAGGTACTGTCAGCCTGTCTATATTAGGCCTAGAATCTAATTAAAATACAGATCTATATTTCGTTTCGTTTATTTATACGTTCGATGGCCTACACTACATGACCAGTTGCTATGGGAAGTCGCGTCAGAGGTCATACGAGCGGCTTTTAACCTATGACGTCAGACATTTGATTAACCAATCAGCATTGATGTTTCTAGTGGATTACCCACAGTTCCATGCACCACGCACCAAAAGCTCGCCGTAACAGACCGTTTCATTGGCTAATCCCTAGCATCATCTAGAACACGAGTTATATAACAACTCTTCCAGATCCTAGTGTAGTATAGACAATTTACACGAAATTTTGAACTATAGGATCTGTGTTTTAATCAGATTGATCGGCCCATCACATGCTTATTTGTTGCTTGAGAATACTCTTCAAAACGTCGCCCAAATAGATTAGTAATTGTTCTTCCATAAAGTTGTACGATAGTTTATTGCTCAATCCAGTAACTAAATGCCTCAACAGGATTAATAGTTTCGTATACACAAGGCTGTTTTCCAGATATGTTGAAAATTAAAAACTTATGAGTGTTTTCACTGTAAATGTTTTTTTCTCGCTAGGTGTAGATTTGGTAATCATTAAATAATAAAATGAAATGCGGTTTAACGTCCTACATTTCTGCGCCGACCGGGCTAATAAAGACGGACATACACAATACAATGTGCTATGAGGAGAATTTTTGCCCGGCCTACTATTATTTTGAATTTCAACTGTCAAGGGTATTATTTACGTACCATCCAAACGACTAAACCCTCCCCTTACCAGGTCCCCGTCCTGCACAACTCACAAGAGGAAACCGCGCCGAAAAATCCCGAGGCACTTTCTGGTTCAACACCGGGAGCGAACCCGATACCTCCAGACTAGCAAGCAAGCGTCCTACTCACTGAGCCATCGCGACTCCCCATTAAATAACAAGAATAAAAGATTGTGTATATCATGTTATTCCTTCCACAGTTCTAGCGGTTATAAAGAACAGTTCTAGTGATTATAAAGAACAGTTCTAGCGGTTATAAAGAACAGTTCTAGCGGTTATAAAGAACAGTTCTAGTGGTTATAAAGAACAGTTCTAGCGGTTATAAAGAATGTTTATTTTATGTTTTTCCTTCCACAGTTCTAGCGGTTATAAAGACGAGCTATGTACAGCAGCTATTTGGTTATATAGAGCCACTAAAGACAGTACCTATCTTAAAGATGCTGATTTATACTATACTGATGACGGTGCCTGGGCACAATCCTGGGATGATAAAATTATCGCATGCCAAGTAAGTATTAAATTTCTTTCATCGCATTAAAGGTGAATATTCAATCTCATAAATTCGAATGTTAGTCAAGAACGTACCTCCAGATTTTCTAGCTTGGTTTCCTTATCAGTGATGCAGGAAGAAGGAACAGGCCCTCACGTCACAAAACATTCTCAGACTTAAGTTAAGAATTGAATCAACTTCCAATCACTGTTTATCAGACATATCTTTGATCCAGAAACACAAAAAGCATTCTCATACTTAAAGTAGCTAAGTCTCTAACTCAATATCATCCAAAATCTTCAACATTGAAAACACGATTTATTTGTCAAATTAAATCAACATTCATGTTGTGATCTTACCGGAAAAAGATGGGCTTTTGATATCCAATATTTAAGACAAAATAAACATTTTACCATAGGTACACGAATCGTGTACCATAATGCGCTTCAGCCCCAGTTGTATCAAGAGACTTGAGGGACGAGGCTAGACACATTGCACCAAATCAAACGGCGTATGTAGACTGGAATAACCAGACGCTAGAAATTTGCACTCGCTTGAGACTGCAGGCTTATTTCGCCGAACATAACTGATTTGAAATTGGAGTAAAAACGGAAACCATTGAATGTAAATCAGTTCATATACATTCATATTACAGTATAATATGCGTTGCGACCCACTTTTGTCAATTTCTAGGTCCCAAATGTTAGCGATTTAGCTCCTTTAAGTGAATAATTTAATCAACATTCAGCCACTATTTATGAGAAATATCTTTGATCCAGAAACACAAAACTTTTCACATAGTTTCTTATTGATTTATTTGATACATTAAAACAACAAAAGTTTTATAAAGGGCTATATTTTAGTTAAAATAAGGCTAACAATTTTGAGTAAATTCTTCAGTCAGAGAATGTTTCTTATACCATCGGTAGTACGTGTAAGGTTCCATGACACTTGAATATCGAAATAAGAGTAGACCGTATTGCCGCTATCTGGACACATTGTTCCTCATGGCACACCACCATGGCGTATGCTCTTCCTCGGTAACCCGACTGGAGCAAAATTCTGTATTTTAGGACCCCTGTCCCAAAATACCATCTTTGTCAAAAGGTTTAATCCCGCACGCGCTTTCGTGGTGTATCCGCGCGCGATTTGCCAATTACATGGAACCGGCCTTATGCCATTTACATTAGGCCCATTTTTTAGCCGGCGAAAACGCATGCGGAAACGCCGCAAAAGGCGCACATGGAAGACCTGGTATGATCAGGAGAATACTGAAGGGCACGTGTTTTAGTTTAATTGTTTCATTTCAGATGTTGATGTATGAGGAGAAGAAAACCCGAAGACATGCGCAGGTTGTAAAAGATTTTTTTACAAGCTGGAGACCAGGAGGTGACGTACCCTATACACCTGGGGGTTTAGCTTACAGACAGAAATGGGGAGCTCTACGATATGATGGTAAGTTTGTCAACGTTAATCTATTGTATGTGGGGTGCAAGGGGGTCTATAGTCAGTCGTTTTTAATGGTTATGTGCCCGAAATTTACTGGCGTGGTTTCCCCTTGGTGCAGTACACGAAAAACCGAGGTCACGTTTACACATTGGCGTGCACGTAAAAGAACCCTTGGCGGTGAGAATTAGGCATAAGAGTAGGCCGTAACGCCACTGTCTGGGCAGAATTTCCCCTCATAGCACACTGCGTGGCGTATATCCGTCTTCATTAGCCCAGTCGGAGCAGAACAGTAGGACTTTAAACCCCATTTCATTTCTGTTTATTTCTTATTTCCAGCAAACACGGCGTTCCTAGCTTTAATAGCTGCTGAAGATGGTCTGATGGTTGATGATAACCGGAAGTGGGCTGCGGGCCAGATAAACTACATGCTGGGAAAGAATAAAGAAAACTTTAGTTACGTCATTGGTTATACTAACAATTATCCCTTACATCCTCACCATGCTTCAAGGTAATATTTATTCAGTTTATTTAAAATTCCATCCATTTTGTTTGCGATTTCGAGAAATCGTCGTCTGTGATGAACCGTGTAAAGCTCAGGGCAGGAACCGGTTAAAGGGTGTGGGATGGGAGGGGGGACAAGTAAATCGGGGTGGGGCTTCGGTACTGAATTAAGAAAAACGAAGCGTAGAGTCAAGGCTGATGTGACTTATAAAAGGATATGTAAAAAAAACCCTCTAGCCAAAAGTCGATCTAGTTACGCCAATCGTATCAATTCACAATCTTGTACTCAATCCAAAATATGTGTGTGTGTTTATGGCGGAGGGAGTGCATTTGTTCCACTTTGCCCCCCCCCCCCGCTTCATCTGAGAGAGAGAGAGAGAGATGGGTTTTAACGTCCACTCGACACAAACTAGGTCATTTCGGGACTAACATATGGTTCAATTTTATTTCAAATAATTCGCTTGCGCGTAAGGGTCTTTAGCAGTGGGAAGAACCCGACTGACCCTGAGAAAACCCACGAGTTTGGATATAAGGCGACCATACAACTGGGGAATCGAAACTACGGCAGTTGACTCAATGGCAGATCTTATGATACAGCGCGCACGCGCTAATCATTCGGCCACCCAACGCCCCTATTCCGGTTGGTGCATAAAAGTAGGAAGTTTAACATCCTTTCTTTCATTCATGCTCTATCTTTATAACATGTATTTCTTGTCATATCTCATATCATACCAATACTTTGATGGGTTTTTTTTTTATTGTAGCTCATGTCCGAACCCACCGGCATCTTGTGACTGGGATGTGTTCGATTCAACTAAACCAAACACACATATTTTATACGGTGCCTTGGTTGGAGGACCAAATACACATGATCATTATATAGATAAACGTGATGAATATGAATACAGTGAAGTAACATGTGATTATAATGCTGGTTTCCAATCAGCTATAGCAGGTTGGTGATTTTTTTTTTTATTAAAGATGCATTCCCGCGAAATTATTAATCTGGTGAAACTTACTAGAAAAATACTGAATTCCCTGGCAAACACATATTGGGCGCGCACAAGTTGGTTTATAATCGGCTATAGCAGGCTGGTCTCTTTAGATAAATTTCTGGAAACTTCCAACTTTACGAATACCATCCTTGAATATTTACAATGGAGAGAGATAGATAGAAATGGGGTTTAACGTCCACTCGACACAAACTAGGTCATTTCAGGACTACTATATGGTTCAATTCTATTTCAAATAATTCGTTTGCCGAGGGGTCTTTAAAAAGTTGGAGGAATCCGGAGGATCCGGAGAAAACCCACGAGGTTGGACAGTCGACCCTACTCTCGGAACTTTATTTGGGGACTCTTAATCACGTGCAAACTATAAAATATTGTGAAAGCCGGATCGATAAATGAAATATCATTCTCTTCATTTTAATCAGATTAAATCCAAGTCGGGAGATAATCTTGGCAAGGATAGGGGTGTCTAATCGTTCGGATTGGACGAAAAACCGAGGTCTACACCCGTGTGCTTGTTGGTGTGCACGTAAAAGATCCCTTGACAAATGTAATTCGATGAAGAGTAGGCGGAAAGGCCACTATTCGGTCAAAATACCGCTCAATGGATTCTGCATGACGTCCCCGCTCCCTGGATTTTGAACAGTAGGACGTTAAACCCCACTTCATTTCATTTCATGAACAGTAAGCTGAAACGTCCGACCGGTACAGAACAGTAGGACGTTAAACCCCATTTCATTTCATGAAGAGCACCCGGAAACCGCCGACTGGCACAGAACAGTAGTACGATAAACCGCATTCCATATCATGTCTTTCATAAAGAGCAAGCGGAATAAACCGACTGGTACAGAATAGTAGGACGTTAAACCGCATTCCATTTCATGACTTTCACGAAGAGGAAGCAAAAACTCCCGACTGGTGCAGAACAGTAGAACGTTAAACCCCATTTCATGAAAATTATGCGGAAATGCTAGGCTGATGCATATCAGTGGGACCTAAACCTCATTTCCTGTCATTTCTTTCGTGACGAGTATGTGGAAACGTCCAGCTGTTGCAGAACGGTAGAGAGTTAAACCCAATTTCATTTCAGGCCATTTCATTAAATTTAATAAATGAATTATGTGATATTTTTGAATTAATTATACATGTAGTTTTATTTGGGTTTTTTCAGGTTTAATAAAATTACAGCATGATAACAAGTTACCGCCTATTGTTGGTTAAATAAACTTTAAATATTTACATTTATTTGTATTATTATTTTACCTTTAATGGGTTGAATCGGTAATGCGCGTGGTCGTCGAAAGATGTGTCGGATAGGGTGAGGGGGGGGGGCAAAGTATGCTGGCGAATACCTCGGAGGGACGGGATGGGGTGGGGGGATCCGATCAGACGGGAAGGGTGTGAAGCCGCCTTGGGTACCCTTTCCCACCCGAATTTTACAATGTACAGTTATGAATTTTTGTATCACTAAAGTAAGACCACGAATTTTACATTTTATATGTATTATGTAAGGGTTAAATCTGTCTACTGTAGAACTTTCGTTTAACATTGTCAGTGGTGTAAGACGAGCGAATTAGCCTTGTCAGTGGTTTAAGATGGGACGAATTAACCGTGTCAGTGGTGTAAGATGGGGATCGTGCAAACAAAAACCGTCTACTCGTTTGGATGGGACGATTTAACAAAAGCGAGGTCTAGTGTATATAATACCACTGGTAGTATGTTAAAATATCCTGGCGGAATTCGAAGTAAGAGTCGGCCGCTGTTCAGGCAAAAATCTCTCTTGTAACAGATTATATGGCGTTGTCGTCGCCATACGCCATCATTATCGCAGCTGGCGCAGAAAAGTACGAAATTAAACCCAATTTCATTTCGAAGAGGTGAGAAGGGGGGGGGGGGGCATTAAATTAATATTTTTACAAACTGCCCTTCTTAATCTATTTATTCTATCTGTTTTGATTAAAATGTCTTCCTTTCCCACATGTCTGAGTAGTCCTTGTACTTGAGTCTTGGGTGCATATCAAGGAGCCGGTCCCGGATATTTCCAAACCCTCAGTACGTCAGTGTTTCGACAGACAATACACAGAGAGCCCCACACCAAGAAACTTCTTGCCCCATACACGTTTTTGTTAAACAATCATCTAAAAAATAATAATAATAATAAAATGCGATATTTAACAATAAAATGGTGTAATCGGTGCTGACCTCCGCGGTCTAATTCTACAAGAACTAGATTTTTAGTGTTTGGATAATCGTTAAAGGGACAATAACACTCTTGCTGGCTTGAAAGCTGCGGAAAATAAATAATATCTCTATCTAAGTACTAGATGTTTATGTGTCCTACCTGTTGTGTAAATTATCCATTACATCCTATTTTACTTGTCCAGAGGGTTCGAAAATATTTTTAAATCGAAGTTTCATTTGAAAAGGTTTACGTTAGACGTTTCAAACCATTATGTTGAATTTTTCAAAATTTTTAAATGAGGTGTGTTAAGATGAAATTTGTATCATCAATTAATTGAAATATTCTAAAATAGTACAATTTGTTGACCAGAATAAAGATTGGGACATATTATTCAGTTACAACAAGATGATGATGATGAGTTAGTTGTATTTTACTTCCGCTTCCACCGAGGTGATATCGCAGACAAGTTACAACAAGAGTGGTATTGAGCCTTTAATATGGACCAAGACCATGCAGTAACTACGAATGATCTGATGATCTTTTAGGGGCATTTACTAACTGGATAGAGCACTAAACTATAACACATACTTATGGAAGAAATGTGAGTGATATAGTTTATTGAATGATCTGATCATTGACGGAACTGATGATATTATAGCAGAGGTATAGGGGGTGTAAAGTGTCTTTTATTTGTGTTGTAGAGCAATCATTACGTCGGAGGTGATATTTTTAACCCCAGTCAACATCAATTCCTCCTGACAAAAAATCTAAACGTCAATCCCCTACAAAATTATGATGAGAGTGCCAAATGATGTAACCATTGTGCCTATAAAGATTGAAACCTTTGTGCCAATAAAGATTGAAACCATTCAATATTGAAGTCAGTGGACAAATAATTGCTAGTCTGAGCCCAGATAGAAAGACGGGGGTTACCTCCCTTGTATGCTCCCAAGATAGGAGTGACAAAACATGTTGAGTCCTAAACAACACGAAGAAAGAGAAAAGTGTTTTGTCGAGAGATAGATGGATGACGGGCATTGTAAGTAAATTATTTGGTCTTTTAACTTGGTGCCCTAAACATTCCCTTTTCAACGCTACCTTAGATTTTGTCATTTGTGTACCACCTGATCCAAATATCACCTCATACGGCTGGCCCCCGGATCCATTCACTTGATTTGATATTTGTTTATAATATTTGGTGCAATGTAAATGTTACTGTGTGAACCATCGTAAATTTTAAACGGATTTCTTCGATTATGAACTAACTACTTACCTTTGGTTATTATAAACTTACCTGTGTGTTTGTAATCAACTCCCGTTCGATAAAATCCATTGCACAACTAATTATCACAACGATGAAAACAAGTTCTCTCTTGAAAAATTTGAAAATTTACTTGTAATTTCGACTGAGTCGATGTCAACAATGTCTTCGTGACGTATTGGTCGAATCCAATATACCTGTTGCGGGGGTTGGTTAACATTGAAAGATAGTTTGACAGCGCGATCCTTTTGATCGTATATGTGTTTGGGCGACGAAAAATATCAATTGAAGGCAATTACAAAGGAGATTTATATGGAGACCATTGATCGCCAGTCTATCAAATTTTCTTCACAATTAAAATATCACTGATTGCACAGATACTCGTAAAAATAAAGTCATGTATAAACTATAAATATCCTATCTTCTTTATGTTATAAATAATTTAACAAGGATCATGAAGCTTACCTCCGAATTCTCTGAGTGTATTTTTAATTTTATACGCATTCTTTCGATCGAATAATAACCACTTCAGTAACATCTTTAAGCGTGTTGCAGCAGATCACAGCGTGTCTATTGGGTGCCCGGGTGGGTATATAATGCTACTAAGCCTGTATGACCCCGTAAGAAGCGGAACATTAATTCTCGATTCGACAGTTTTGACCGATATGGGATAAAGCCCATAAACGAATGTATAGTTGTGTTTGTGCGGCATGCGTGTTCAAAAGTAAATTATCCCATCCGAGTCGCTAATCAAATAATTAGAACAAAATATTTCAAAAAGTAAAGCTATAAAATTTGCAGAGATTTTACTAGAATGTAAAAGACGGTAACTAAATACAGGAATGCGGGTAGTCATGTGTGCGAACGCTCAAACCCAATATCAATCTAATTTTTCTTATTTACTCTTGCAATGAGACTCGGTATGTCCAGACTTTTGACAGTTTCTACATATACGGGTATACTGTTCTTATCTGATAGCCTAATTTTACTTTTTCCACATTCGCGGTATCCCCAGTGGTTTCATTCCGTTTACCCCACTAACCCCTGGGTTTATATATATGGGGGGAGACACGTTTTCAAGTTATCCGCCCTTGATGCGTTAATATATACAGCACATAATAATACGAAGACCGGACGTTTATATGCCCCTTTTTAAACCTGACTACAAGTGTGGTTCTCGATATTTTGCGATTTGGGATACAATTATCAATTTATTCAAACAACACGTTATTATTAGTTCGAGTAGTCATATTAAAACACACACAATTAGCAATTTATTCAAATAACACTTTATTATTGGTTCGAGTAGTCATATTAAAATAAACACAATTATCAATTTATTAAAATCAATTAAAAAAACCCCTGGGTTTATATATATGGGGGGAGACACGTTTTCAAGTTATCCGCCCTTGATGCGTTAATATATACAGCACATAATAATACGAAGACCGGACGTTTATATGCCCCTTTTTAAACCTGACTACAAGTGTGGTTCTCGATATTTTGCGATTTGGGATACAGTTATCAATTTATTCAAACAACACGTTATTATTAGTTCGAGTAGTCATATTAAAACACACACAATTAGCAATTTATTCAAATAACACTTTATTATTGGTTCGAGTAGTCATATTAAAATAAACACAATTATCAATTTATTAAAATAACACTTTATTATTGGTTCGAGTAATCATATTAAAACAAACGCAATTATCAATTTATTAAAACAACACTTTATTATTGGTCCGAATCGTCTTTCTGTTGGGTCCGAATAGTCTTTTTGTATGGTCTGAGTAGTCTATTTGTTTGGGCTAAGTGGTCTATCAGTTGGTCCGACTGGTCTTGAACCGAGTGGTCTTTGGTCCGAGTGGTCATGGATTCTTGTCGTAATTGTACTTGAATTTCCTATGCTGTCACCCCTAATACGAAATGATATCTTCCGCAGAGTGACGTAACCATCTTCCATATTGGTATTTTTCTCTGGGAAAAGTTTGTGATATTTCAATTTTTCAAGATAGAACTTGTTTTCATCATTGTGATAATTAGTTGTGCAATCGATTTTATCGAACGGGAGTTGATTACAAACACACAGGTAAGTTTATAATAACCAAAGTAAAGTAGTTTGTTCATAATCGAAGAAATCCGTTTAAAATTTACCAAGACTCATACAGTAGTTACTTTAGTAACGTAATTCATGTGCCACGATACGATACGTATCGCGATTCATAACTAGGTCATAGATTTATCAATAAAACAACAAATTAAATGTGATTGTGTTTTTAATGAAGTCACTAAAACCAGGAAATAAATAAACTTGATAACTATTTAGTAATGTAAACTCTGTTTGAATAACATGAAATTAAAAAAAAAAATAACACTTCACAGAGAAATAAATTTATTGTCTTAAGGAAAATTAGTTTATCCACATGTTTGGGTTTAAGGTAGTGTTTTAAAAAAGGTGTATGTTACGTCATTGATTAGTAGATATGCAATCTCACTTGTATGAGATTTGAAAGAGGGGAGATAACTAGGGTTAAGGTTTTGACCGTGTGTCCACTTCCAGTTTCGGGTTACCCTCGCGTATTACCAGAAAAGAGTGAAGCTAAAACCCATTTCTCTCTCTCATACATAAGTATAATCAGTCTTATACCTTTTTTAACTGCCTCGGTGTCTTTATATTGCGCTACGTTTGATTTAATCACGGATGAAAATGAACTCTTTTGCTGACTGTTTAATTTAATTATATATTGAATATTGATCTGCAGTTATTTGATTTGATACTTTTCTAATCATCTTCGAGAAATGAAATTTACAATGACCCCAGAATCTTCATATACATCGAAAGTCGAAGAATGGACCGAACGGGAAATGCAGCTGAACAGATTACATGAAGAAGTGTAAGTTAATTATTATTTTACGCTCGAGGGGTTCTATGGCCGAATGGTTAGCACGTGCAAGCTGCACTGTATCATACAGTCTGTCATTGAGTCAACTTGCGGGGTTTCGAATCCCCGGTTGTACGTGACAAGGAGTAGGGGCGCCTGTCCAACCTTGTGGGTTTTCTCCAGGTCCTCTGGTTTTCCTCCCACTGCTAAAGGCCCTTATGCACAAGCGATTTATTGAAACAAAAATGAACCATATGTTAGTCCCAAAATGACCTACCGTAGTTTGTGCTGAGTGGATGTTAAACCTCTCTCTCTCTCTCTAGTTCAGCTCTGAACATGTCTTATAATTGTTACACTCACCCGTACGTTTTGACTTGTTAGCCTGATTATTTATAAAATTATTTTTATTACTATAGATTAGCTAAAAGAGAGTCTCTTTTGCGTACATCTACAAATTATTTCAAACAACAGAGTCATCGAGGTAATACTGGACGCGATAGATTGAATATTACAACTAATGCAACTTTACGAAACCAATCTTTGATTGAGGTAAGGTTACAGTGTTTGTAGGCAACACAAAAGATCGTAATAATTTGAAGTAATGCACAATATTCTAATAATTACTACCGTATACAGGGATGCAATAAAAACCCACCATTTTTATATTCAGGAGAAGGGTTGAGGGCGGGGAAGGTCTAATGGTTGCACTTTATGTTAAGTGGCATGGTTTTGTTTCTTAGCTTGTAGTAGACAAGGAGTAGGGTTGTCTGTCCAATTTCGTGGGGTTTTCCCCCCGCGTCTTTGTGTTTCCTCCAACTGCTAAAGAACCATGTACAAAAGCAAATTATTGAATTAAAATTGAACCATATCTTACAGGATATTGAAGAATTAGAAGATGAAATAATTGCTGAAAATGAGAAAGTTCCAGCACCAAAGTTTTTATTACTAAAGGTATTTTGATCTTTATTTATTTATGATAGTGTTGTATGCGTGGAATGAGGTTTAACGTCCTACTGTTCGACACCAACTGGGCTAATGAAGGCCGCCATACAGTGTGCTGGTAGAATCTAAAAATTAGGACCAACTGCAGATTTAGTCAAGGTCATGAGATGTAAACAGGACTAGGGCACGTGATTATGTATTGTCTGCGATATCACCTCGGTGGAAGCGGACGTTAAATACAGCTATTTCACAAACACGTGATTGTGGATTAGGGTAGGGGTCAGAGTTAGTGCTAGCTCTGTTTACATTTCATTACCTTTACCCAAATCTGCAGTTGACCGTAATTTTTAGACCTAACCGCAGTTTGCTAAGGAACATTTTGCTTGGCAGCAGGATTTATGCCTACTCTGCATCAAATTCCAACCAATGGTTCTTTTATGTGCACCCCAAGCATATACTGGAACACATGATCGTGTTTTTCTTGTACCTTTCAAACAACTGGACACTGTTCCTTGTCAGGTACTCCATCCGTCACAACTGATCATGGGGAGACAACCCAGAAAAATCGGGAGAACATTTCGGCAAATGCCGTTACCAAACTCGGGACCTCCTGGTTAGTGAGCCAGAGCCTTTCACCATATTATTGAAGCAATGGTTATAAGCATTATTTTGTTCATTTACCATTGCTATAGTAAAGTGGTGTTTCTAATCAGTTCATTTACCATTGCTATAGTATAAAATGGTGTTTTTAATCAGTTCATTATCAGTTCATTTACCATTGCTATAGTAAGTGGTGTTTCTTAAGTCATCATATCTTTGTAAATATTGAATGGAACTCGTTCATTTTTGGATTGATATTCCTTATAGAGATGGGGGGTTGGATGGCCGAATGGTTATCATAACGTCTTTCATTGAGTCAACTGGCGTGGTTTCATGGCAAGGAGTAGGGTCGCCTGTCTAACCTCGTGGGTTTTCTCTGGGTCCTCCGGTTTCCTCCCACTGCTAAAGACCACTACGCGCAAGCGAATTATTGAAATAAAATTGAACCATGTGTTAGTCCCAAAATAACCTAGTTTGTGTCGAGTGGATGTTAAACCCCATCTCTCTCCTCCCTCTCTCTCTCTCTCTCTCTCTCTCTCTCTCTCTCTCCCCCCCCCCTTATAGAGATTCAACTCTCACAATGTGCCAGGGATCAGATGCTTTACGAAACTCTAGAAGTTTAACAAGAAGATTTGAATATTATTTTTGTTCCATTAACAGAATAACTACTGGTCCATGGTGAAGGGAATGTTACCATTATGGGAAGAAGCTATTGGAATGAAACCATCCAGACTGAGTTCATCTTTACCAAGTCCAAAACCTAGAAGGACACCGAAACCTAGCAGAAGGATTAAATAAATATTTTACCATACCCGCAACCCACTTTAAAAGTGGTGTATATTTTACTCGCCCCTCTCCGTCCATCCCCTTACAGGTTTTCATAGGAAACTTTATTGGAATGTACAGTTTTGAACCTAATTTATTATGCGGTCCATAGGTTTACCCAAAACTACCTGTATTTTGCTTAAAATAACACATTTTTTTTTCTTATTTTTTTATATGTATAGCTGATTAACATACCCAAAATTTTACTAAATAAAGAGAAAATAAATGTAAGAAAGACAACTCTTATTGTCTTCCCAGTGATTATGGAGTCAGACTAGTAATTCTCTCCTCATTGACTTCAATTTTAATAAACATTTTTTATCACATTCTGAGTGTGGTTGGATAGCCAAATGGTTCGCGCATGCGGGTTGCATCATAAGGTCTATCATTGAGTCAACTGCCGTGGTTTTGATTCCCCAATTGTACGTGACAAGGAGTGGTCTGTCCTACCTTGTGGGTTTTCTCCAGGTTCTCCGGTTTCCTTCCACTGCTAAAGACCCCTACGTGCAAGAGAGTTATTGAAATAAAATTGAACCATATTATAAAAGTACAGTTTTAAGGAAACTACATGTTGTGTTGGATAATTGAAGATGTTTTGGATAAATCTATGGACCTTTTACAATGTATTGATGTATGTAATGAATGCTGTAATATATATTAACATAGACTAAAAAAACAACTGCTCCAAAATTCTTAAAGATACATTATGCAAGAGCTAAATCTGTCTATTGCAGGTCTTTCTTTAGGCCTGAAATGTTATCTAGATTATTAATTAGACATTAATTAACTTATCCAGACCATAATCAACTCTAGATGGCATCACTAGCCAGCGATCTTTGGTGGATTGTGAGCCGATTTACTGCATAACTTTCCTTCACAATTTAACGATTAAATGGATAATCGGTACTATGCTGTTTATCGTACTGAGTTTAGTAATGGTGATCAAGGCTAGGCGGAAATTCGATCGCTTTGTTCTCGGTTCATAGTGGATCAATTTGAATGAAATTTTCAGCAAATTGCCTTTACATTATCTAGTTTTTAACTATTATAGTGAGAACTGCCAACTCGTTATCGAATCCCCCATAATGTATCTTTAATTAACTCTTCATGTCATCTGGTGCTTCCAATTTTCATTAGATTTGAATCTGATCTGCCGTTCAACAGCCATTGATGATTAAATGCAAAAGTGGATATTTAAGACTTTGTTAATTATCGTTAAGAGTTAAGTAATTTGACTAAAATTTTCAGTATATCCCCATTACATTATCTTTTATTTAACTATTATAGTGAGAACTATCAGCTCTTTATCTAATCTCCCATAATGTATCTTTAATTGGAGAGTAGTTTTGTTTTAATTGACCAGGATCCCAATCGCTGCCCATCTTGTTGTTCTTGTGGGTGACACTTGTTGAAAAATGCCTTGTTGAAAATACTCCAGTTGTTGATAGTTAGTTAGTCCCTTTATTTATTTAATATCTTTTTGGTTAAAGAAGCATTATTCAAGAGATAAATCTGTGTATTGCAGGTCTTTATTGTTATATAAATTATTTTTAACATGACAAGCCCATAATCAACTGTCTAGGTCATCAGATGGCAGAGATATTAAATAGATTAGAACATCCTCAAGATTTAATAATTTTAACTTTAAAATGGATAATCCTGATTTTGTTTATTATTGTGCGTATGGTACTTGACAATCGAGACTATCTCCGCTACATCTTGACAAAACTTCAAACACACATAACTGCCCTCAGAATAAAGTAATTTGACTGAAATTTTCAATATATTCATATATCATTATCTATTTTTAGACTATTATAACAAGAACCGCCATCTCTTTATTTAAATCTTACATAATGCATAATGAATGTATATGTGTATAGAAGTACGTCTATGTTTACGATAATAGATAAATACATAATATAGAGATTAAAGTAGATAAAATCCAAGTACTTCTTATAGTTTGCCTTAGATAAATACAAAATATATATACAGAGATTAAAGTAGATAAAGTACCTGTATGTTTACGGTAGATAAATACATAAATAAATAAAATGTATGTCAAGGTTAACAAATACCACTTGACTTCATTGTGATATGCATCAAATCATAAACTAGCTGTTTGCTCTTAATTGTGCCTTTGCCCTCTTCAAATATTATATACTCTTCAAAAAAGTAGGGGATATTCAGAAACAATACAAAACTGTGGAAATGCACTGCTGTTTTTATTAGAGGTAACCAGTGTATGTTAATAACAGGCCAATTCCCTACACATGAACCTAAACAGTTCATATGGGCGGCTTATCTGACGGCCCCATTTCACTCGCAAAGAGGTACACCGTTAAAAGTGAAAATGGACGTTTTTGATTTTTGTCTTAATAATGAGTAATTGCTCCACCAATCCTCAGACATTCAGCAGTTCATCGTGGCATGCTCCTAATCAACCGTCCAATCACGATTTGGGGCAATCTGACCCACTCCTCTTGCAGTGCCTAGTCCAATTCTTGCAGTGTTGTCGGTTGACGTTGATGTCGTCGAACACGTCTCCCGATCAAATTAAACGTAATACACTAAAGCAAAGATACGCTAAACAGTAAATCTTATGCAAGAACCAATAGGAAAGCAAACATGGATAGATAAACCAGCACATGGCAGTTTTCATCACCCCTTCCTTGAAGTGTCAAATTTGACAATGAATCCCTCCCGCTATGGCGTTATTGCATGTCGCATGCGAGTTCAGTGGTTCTGTTGGGGCGATAAGTTCTTCATCTGTGAACATACTCTCAAAGCATGTCAAGTGTCAATGACTATTTATCATATCACAACCTGCATAGATATTTGCATTCCAATGTCCTCTACTGTTTTTTTGAAGAGTATATATAGGCTACAAGTAAAATTGAAGTATTTTTAACTGAGAGTTATTGGACATATATACATGTATACAATTAACACACATGTTTGTGTATTACACAGTTAAAATTCCAGATAACTTGATGCTATTCTCAGATTATTAATGATTTATATACCCTTATTAAACTTTATCTTTCTGTATGTATTTTATATATGATAATAAAATCATAGAAGATACCAGTAGACTTGTTTATCTCTGTAATAAATTATTGATAGGATTTTAATGTCACTGATTGATATCATCAATTCATCACATATTTGTCCATACACAATTTTCACTATATTAATCTTTTAGAGGCATTATGGTGAACAATATAAGGTCTGATATGTATGGAAATGAAATGAAATGGGGTTTAACGTCCTACTTTTCTGCTCCTTTACTGGGCTAATGAAGACAAGCATACGCCATACAGTGTGTTATGAGGGTAATTTTGCCCGAGCAGCGGCACTATCACCTACTCTTATATCGAATTCCAACTGCCAAGGGATCTTTTACGTGCATTCTAATGTGTACATGGGACCTCGGTTTTTCATCTCATCCGAAAGACTAGACAGCTGTCCTTGTCAAGCCTTCCGTTCTGCACCTCTGACAAGGGGAAACCATGTGGGAAAATCCAGATGAACTTTCTAGGCCAATGCAGGGATCGAACATCCGACCTCCAGGCTAGTAAGCCAGCGTCTTAACCACCTAGCCACCGTGGCTCCGCCCAATATGTATGGACGTTTATAACAAACACAATAAAGGTGCATAACTAGAGCGATAAACTATAACACATACTTATGGAAGAACAATTACTTATTTATTTGGGCAATGTTTGAAGAATAATTCACTCAGCGTTATATTCAATCTTTGAAATGTGGCCCAAATTTACCAGTAGCTGTGTTTCCATTAGTCTGTGTTATAGTTTATTTCATATTATCTTGTTCTAGACCGGCTAAATCTATTTGTTAAGGTCAGCTCAATTTTTGTCAAGGTTACTGAGATGTAAATAAGGTTAGGTGTAATACAGTATCATTTGGGATCTAAATTTCAATATTGTATTCTTAATTCATATTTTATTTGTAACTCAATTTTAGACATATATTAAGTGACAGATTAATTGTAAGATTTAATCTATATATCAGGTGTAGGTTGTTGAAATAGTATTATGTAAGATTTAATGGATTGTACAAACATGTATACTCGGAGTGTCTATATGATATAAGATTCAGGCTTAACACGTATTGACACCTTTTGTCTTGAGGTAAGATGTGTGAATCTTAATAATTACTTTTCATTTTCCTGATTACTAATGGTATTAACTATGGCGTGCCTTAACCGATATAAAAAGCCTAGTTTACAAGCAGGCAGGGGAAAGTACAAAGAAGGGACAAGAGAGACCCGTAGAGGCTGAGAGGTCTCCCGGACCTTGGGAGAGGGTCTGCCCTCGACACCGGGCAGAGGGGTCCTGTGAGGCCGAGGGGAAGCAGCTATAGCTAGACGTAACTTTACCCAACCAAATGATGTTGTTATGTACCTGTAAATATGTTATCCAGTATTAAAATATCTTTTAATAAATAAGAGTTATGTATTCTATCACATAGTGCACCTGATTGTTGGTGAGATTGTACGTTATGATTAGGATAAGCATTGGGGCTAGGTCCAGGGTTGGGATTAGCGCTAGCCATGTTAACATCTCGTGACCTATGACGAAAAATTGAGCTGGCTTTATCATTTAGATCATTTAGCACTAACCATTATAGGCCACCCGGGGTCGAAGCTGTGTACTGGGGTCCCTACCTACACAATCACTCACAGGAGTAAAAATGTAAATGGTTGAAAAAATTAAACATATTATATTTATGGTGTTGGTACTTCTAACAAAATCAGTTTATTAAACAGCAAGCCATAAATTACATAGACTAACATGGGACCACTAGGCCCATGGGACCCTGGGAAAGTGCCCAGCGTGCTCATGTGTTATGACAGCCCTGGATTCTACTGTGGAATACAGCATAAAACACTCAATATATAGCAAAAATATTATTTAATTCAATTTTGCGAGAAGTTGCATAAAATGGGGGTAACTGCACCAACCAGGCATACCCCATGCATTGTGCTACGAGGGACATTTTTTCCAGACAACAGCAGTGCTACCATCAACTCAAATCTTCGATAAATAGCCAAATTTCTCTGAAATCTAAAAAAAAAATATGTCACATTGGTGGAATAAATAATAGGAGTTTGCACTAAAGGAATTTATACTTTATTGTTATCTATGTTTATTTAAAGTAGCTATGTCTCTAACTTAATATTATCCAAAGTCTTCATTGAAAACACCACTGATGGTGTTATCTTATCTTGAAAAGTGGGCTTTTAAGACAAAATAAACATTTTACCATTGGTACACGAATCGTATACCAGACAAAACGAGGCTAGACATATTCCACAAGGCATATGCATGTCAAATGGTTATGTCATATTCTTATCTGGAGAGCATGCGCAATATATACTATCGGTGTAGACTGGAATAACCAAACCATAGAGATTGCCATTCCATTGAGACTTCTGGCGGAACATAACTGAATAGAAATTATAGTAAAAATTGAACCCATATACATTCATATTACCGTATATGCGTTTTGACCCATTTGTGTCAATTTCTAAGTCCAGAATATTAGCAATTTAGCTCCTTTAACTTCGTTTGTAATCAAGTTGAAGTGACGTGTGATTGGTTGAAACTTGACATCAGTGATGTGTGATTGGTTGAAACCTGACATCAGTGACGTGTGATTGGTTGAAACCTGATTTTAACAGGTTTCTTGACATAATTTTAGTGACAACTTGTTGTTGTTTATTACAAATTGAACGTCCGATACATAATACATAAATCATGGACAGGTTGATTTGATAAAGATTATTTACATATGAATGTGTAGTAAAAAAGAAAGAGGGTGAAAACAAGAAAAGAGTTCTTGTACGGTATATGAAAATGTCCATAAAAACACGTGTTAAAATTCTCTGTCGTGAGAAGAGCAGGTTCACCTATTTTCGTTATAATAAAATCAAGTTAAAATAGGAGCAGGGGTCTGTTTCATGAAATTTTAACTAAGATAAAATCCAAATTTTAGTAATTTGATTGGATAATATTAAGATTCATTTTAGTGCTTAGCCAATCAAGATTGAAGTATCTACTAAAATTTGGATTTTATCTTTAGTTAAGATTTCGAGAAACAGGGCCCAGGACAGGCTGGTTGATGTTGGGTATAATCAATGCAGACAGAAAAAAAAGAACGTGGGGAAAAGAACCCGTTTGCTTTATGCGATAGCCCAATTCCTCATCTCTAAAATATAAACAGCCCAATTTCTCATCTCTAAAATATAAACAGCCTAATTTCTCATCTCTAAAATATAAAGAGCCCTATTCCTCATCTCTAAAATATAAACAGCCCTATTCCTCATCTCTAAAATATAAACAAAAATGCAGTACGTCATTGTGACATGGAATTGGGTTAAACTTGACGTAGTCAGATTTAAGTTTCGATGTAAAGCCTGGCTCACAAACCCGCCGTACTAGTAGTAGCCTACTACGGGCGGTGTACGGGGGAAATATTAGTAATCCCGTGCGTGAGACTTGCGTGTCTTGGGCACCGTAGAAAATCGCAGACTGGCCGTACCGGTATAGAGACTTTTGGTCCTGCTAATAAAAAATTTTCACCCGATTTTTTGCGGCTGGTGTGCGAGCTACCAAACCCAACGAACCGTGCGTGTCAAAATACGTACGACGGGTCGTGAGCTAGGTGTGTAGATTGGGGGATCAACTTGACGATAATCGGTGAACTTAAGCGTTGGATTAACGAAATCGATCCGTCATGATCAAATTAAGGGCTATTGAAAATAGATCAATAGGCTTTCTAACTACATATATAATTAATTGACACGAACAGTTTAAACCTGCTACACCGATATAGACACAGGTGGCCGCTTGTTTATCACCATGACAACGTGTAAACAGTAAGTATAGACCACACGGTTTATTGGAAATGGTTAGCGTATATTGATATATTTAACGTGTATGTAATAAGCTGCACAGCGGAGTTATACACTAACGAAAGGTAAGGCGTATATATAAATCCCCAATTCACGCGTTGACATGCACGTAAACTAACCTTTGACAGTTTGAATACAACTGATGTCGGGGGGAAAATGTCCCTCAAAGCACACTCACTGTTTGGTGGATGGGCTAACGAATACGCGACAGTTTGAAATTCAATCGTTTTCAGGGTAACATTTCTCTCATAGCCCGGCGTCTTCTAAAAGTTAAGGCCCACTGCAGATTTGGTCAAAGGTCACGAGATGTAAACAGGGCTACCGCCAAACCTAGCTATAACCTATGTTACAATCTCGTCAACAATCACGTGCCCTAGCCCTGTTTACATCTAGCGAACTTGACGAAATCTGCAGTGGGTTTTAACTTTTAGATTTAGCCCCACTGTATGATGTATGCTCGTGTTCATTAACCTAGTTCGACGCAGAACAATAAGACGTTAAACCCCATTTCATTCGGGTGGGGGTGTTCTAACGGTTTAACGCGTGTGCGTGAAATCATACGGTCTGTCATTGAGTCAGGTGTGGGGGATGGGGGGTGGATGGCCGAATGGTTAGCACGTGCGTGCTGTATCATGCAGCCTGTCATTGAGTCAACTGGCGTGGTTTCGAATCCCCGGTTGTACGTGACAAGGAGTTGGGTCGCCTGTCCAACCTCTTGGGTTTTCTCCGGGTCCTCCGGTTTCCTCACACTGCTAAAGACCCCTACGCGCAAGCGAATTATAGAAATAAAATTTAACCAAATGTTAGTCCCGAAATGACCTAGTTTGTGTCGAATGGACGTTAAACCCCATTTCTCTCTCTCTCTGAGTCAGTTGGCGTGGTTTCGATTCCCCGCTTGTACTAGGATCGCCTGTCCAGCCTCGTGGGTTTTCTCCGGGTCCTCCGCTTTCCTTCCACTACTAATTAAGATCTCTATACGCAAGCGAATTATTGAAACAGAATTGAAACATATGCTAGTCCTGAAATGAGCTAGTTTGTCTTGAGTGGACGTTTAACCCAATTTATCGAGAGAACGAGAGAGAGAGAGAGAGAGAGAGACCAAGCGTAGTGAGGTAGTGGATTTTCCTCTGGCAGTGGTGTTGGTTGATAACCTTGGAAGTCCGAAGGCCTGGGTCACACGTGGATTATCTCAGCATGTTATAAGGGGGGGGGGGGGCGAATGGTTAGTGCGTGCGTATTGTTTCATTAGGTCTGCCATTGAGTCAACCGGCGTGGTTTCGATTCTCCGGCTGTACGTGACAAGGAGTAGGGTCGCCTGTCCAACCTGGTCGGTTTTCTCCGGGCCCCCCCCCCCCCCACACTGCTAAAGACCCAACACGCAACTGAATTATTGAAATGAATACCATTTTATGTCTAGAGGTCAAAGTTTTCCTGTAGGTTACATTTTAATGGGCCTACGAAATATGGAAGAATTACCTTTTTCCGTATGCAAATGAGGTTCGTCGTAGATCCCATATAAGGTTTACATTCTATCATGCTAAGTTCTATTATGCATTTGTCGATAATGCAGAGGTGTGATGTGCAAAACAACTATTATTCTGTATTTTATATTATTGAAAAGTGTATTTTGTATTTTAACACTGTGACATTGCTATTGTGAAGCAATGGAAATTGTAAAACTAAAATAAGTATTTTGCACTGCTGACATACAATTTGATTAAAACACAGATCCTATTTCGTTTCGGTTTTTTTTATAGTTCAAAATTTCGCTTTACTTGTCTTTACTACACTAGGATCTGGAAGAGTTGTTATATAACCCCCGCTCTGGATGATGTGAGGGACTAGCCAATGAAGCGTTCTGTTATACGATACGGCAAGTTTTTGGCGTGGGGCGCCACTAGAAACGTTAACGCTGATTGATTAATCAATATCTGACGTCATAAGGTCAAAAGCCGCCCGTATGACCCCTGACGCGACCTCCACTACAACTGGTCAGATCTTGCTGTAGAAGAGACCAGCGAAAGTATAAAACGAAACGAAATATAGATCTGTATTTTAATCAAATTGACTGGCGTGCAGTTTGCACTGTGAACAGTGAAATATTATTGGCAACGTTATTCTTCCATAACGGAAGAATCCTATAGAATAAGTCAATTACTTCTTGTTCGACTCAAATTACCTGACAACCATAATTATATTAATCCTTATAATTTCAGATGGCGGCCTATTCATTTAAAGGATCAACCAAGTCACAGACGAAAGGGTCGGGATTACCTATTCCATTATTGACCTTATTTGGCTCGGCAGCTATATGGATCCTCGCGGTCGTCTTTACTTACCTGTTCTACGTCTACTTCTTTCTCTATCTGAGGATATACAAGGATTCAGATTTAGATATTCCATGTGAAAATAAACTTAGTGTGTATCGCGACAGCCATTTTATCCGTAAACATAATTTAAATCGGGTAATGAATTATCCAATAGGAGACTCGCTTCCTTATCTAAAAACATTCGGGTTTAAAGAATCCGATTTTCGAACTCCCACCCAACCGGAACAGAAATTACCCCGTATTGTGACGGCGGTGGATTCATCTCAGTTTTATCAAGTTCAAGGTCTGATTCGGCATTTAGCGGAAGATGTGAATTCCGTTGGTGACGTGTATCTGATCATTTATGATATTGGTTTAAATACAGGACAAAGATTTTTGGTAATTATATATGTTTTATATGTCAGGATTAGTAATCTCTATCATCCAGAATGTACGTTGAAGACTAGGAGGTTCTGGGTGACCGAGAGTAAGGAATAGTCGCGAGAAACTATCTTGTAGTTGGTCAGATAAACACGGGTGCTACAATATTGGTGCTCGTTATGGTTTGGTGTAAATTTTTCAATCTGATTAAAACACAGATTCTATTTCGTTTCGTTTTTTATAGTTCAAAATTTCGTTTTACTTGTCTTTTCTACACTTTGATTTTCAAGAGTTGTTACATTACCGGTGCTCGGGTTGATGTGAGGGATTAGCCAATGAAACGATTTGTTGCGTCGAGTTATTGGCGTGCGATGCACAGAACTGTGGGTATTTTACTAGAAACGTCAACGCTGATTGATTAATAAATGTCTGACGTCATATGGTCAAAAAACGCTCGAACGACCCCTGATGCGATCTTCCAGTACAGCCGGTCAGACCTTCATGCAGTGTAGGCTATTGAAAGTATACCCCCCCCCCCCAAAACCAAAAAACGAAACGAAATATAAAACGGTGTTTTAATCAGATTGTAAATTTTTTGTACGGTAAAACAATGTTAGGATAGTTCACTTATTTATTAATGGTCTTTTTATAGGGGTGCTGCTGTGGATCAGGGAATAAGGCGCGGGCTCGCTAACCAGGGGTTCCTGGCAAGGACAGTGTCTAGTTGAGTTGTTCGGATTGTAAGAAAAACGAGGTCCCGTGTACACATTGTCTGTTGAAATTTGATTTAAGCGTTGGCGATAGCGTTTCTGTCCGTGAAAAATGACACCTCATTAGCAAACTGCATGGCATTGCCCGAGTTCATTAGCCCAGTCGGTGCAGAAAAGTAGGACATTAAACCCCATTTTAGTTCATGTAAATGTTAGATTGTGCCTCAAAACTGGTTCTTTAAAGGACAACATCTAATAAGTGCAACCTAGCTATGGGTGATTATTAACCTTAAATTTGTCTTGATTTAGTAACAGGGAAAGCCGCAGCTATGATGACTGTTTCGTCTCTCAAAGCCCCAGGGGGATCCAGGTTCGATTCCTGTGGTGGCCGAGAAAGTTCCTCGTTATGTTCAAGCCTGGTTCCTCCTGGCGGTGCTGGGCGGGTAGCCCGACAAAGGAAAAGCGCAAGGTCCGTTCAGGTCGCATGCAAAAAACGAAGACCATACGTGTATTCGTATGCGTGGACGTAAAATAACCTTTGGCAAAACCTCCCTTATAGTATCCTGCATGGCGTATGGTTAGTGCTAAATGATAAGGCTACCTCAATGGCTACCCTAACCCGAACCAACAATTTCGCCAACAATCACGTGCCCTAACCTTATTTATATCTCAGCGACTTTGACCAAAATTGAGCTGGCCTTAACAGATTTAGCCCATGGCGTATGCCCGATTGTTCACAAAAATAAAACTTTAACCCTTTCATTTTTATTTTGTTTTCCAGCTCATGAACCAGTGTAACTGTATTGTGCGCAGTTTTCACTTTCAAGCATATCCTGATCACGTGGCAGACATTTCAAACTTTGCGTGGCGACCGTTGATAATTCAAGCAGCTTTAGAAGAAACGGGTTCGGTGTTGTACGTGGAACCAACCACGCGCTTTAAGAATCCCAATTCTTTAGAATTATTTCGGAAGCGAGGAACAAGACATTTTTATTTGTGGGATAAGGAAACGTTCTCTTCAGTGGTCGGATACACGGACAAGGGTATGTTCGATTTCTTAGAGGAAAAGAGATGCGAGTTTGTGGATACGGGTTTAATATCAACCGACATAATGGTGTTCTATAAAACTAATATAACGTGGAACAGTATCTTAAGGCCTTTGTTAGCCTGTGCCTTTAACCAGAACTGTATCGCACCACAGGGAGCCCGATCAAACTATTGTTTTCATATACGGCACCCGAGGACAACGGGTTGTCACATGTTCGATCAATCCGCCATTAGCATAATAACAAATCGTGTCTTTCAAATCACTGCCGATCGTAAAAAAATGATTCCGCCGAGAATTACATATTACTCCGCTCAGGAAGAAACGTATTTTGAAGATCAGCCTTGGACAAATCGTCAAATATTCGCCATAATATGTTCTCCAATAATAGTGTATATTATTTATAGACAAAGAAGAAGACGATATAGATTTTAATTTTAATAATTTGTGTGTTCTCCTGCATTTATTGTTTGTTTAATTTCACCGTTTAATGTATTTTTACATTTTAATAAAATGTTGGTATTGTTTGTGTATAGGTTATGAGTTTATAGATGAATGGGGTTTGGGATATCATTCAGTAGCAAGGGAGACAAATCCACATAAAATTTCTATTAAATATAATGTAGGATTCACACCACAATTAAATTTAGTAAAACGTTGGAATGGAGCAAGTGATATGGCTAAATTTTCGTCAAGGTCGTGGAGATGTAAATAAGGTTAAGGCACGTGATTGTTGGCGATATTGTAGGTTACGGTAAGCATTAGGGCTAGGGTTGAGATTAGCGATAGCCCTGTTAACCTTTGACCAAACTTGACGTTAGCCATATCGATTCCCCGAATGTACGTGACAAGGAGTAGGGTCACCTGTCCAACATCTTGGGTTTTCTCCCACTGCTAAAGACCCCTACACAATGAAATGAAATGGGGTTTAACGTCCTACCGTTTTGCTCTGAACTGGGCTAATGAAGACAGGCATACGTCATACAGTGTGCTATGAGGGAAATTTTCCCTGGACAGTGGCACTACGGCTTACTCTTAGATCGAATTCCAACTGTCAAAGGATCTTTTACGTGCACGCCAATGTGTACACTGGACCTTGTTTTTCGTCACATCCGAACGACTAGACAACTGTCCTTGTTGGGCCCTCAGTCCTACATCACTGACAAGTGAAAACCACACCGGAAAATCTGGATGAACTTTATCGGCCAATGCAGGGATCGAACACCCGACCTCCAGGCTAGCGAGCCAGCGACTTAGCCACCATGATCCCCCCTCCCTACACGCAAGCAAATTATTGATAAATATATATAAAATTGAATATGTTAGTCCCGAAATTACCTAGTTTGTGTTGAGTGGACATTAAACCCTTTTTCCCTCTCTCCCTCCCTATCTCCCTTATCTCTTTCAAAAATAAATTAAAAAGAGAAATCTGTACCTGTTTGTTTTATTATTATCGTTAATCCAAGAAACTACAGACTTTTAGGTGAAGAATACAATGGATTTCTAAATTCTTTAAAAGGTGAAAATCCCAATAACAATTAATTTACTAAATGGGTGTTTAAAAGACAGAAAATACTATTCCTGACAAGACTTAAGTTAACAATAACAAAAAAAAACATAACATTTAAATCACTCCAAGGTTTGTTGTAGTTATTTTCCAATCATTATAAATTATATTTCGAAAACCCTTACATCAATAATTTGAATTGTTCGGGTAAAGTAATGTTTCGAACACCTAACATCAATAATTTACATTGTTCAGGTAAAATTATGTTTTGAACACGTAACATCAATAATATGAATTGTTTGGGTAAAATTATGAAATCTCAGTAAGTTGCTATCGGGTGTATTACTGTAATGCCCCCGTTTTATAATAATATGACACGTTAGAAAGCACTAGCAAACGATCTATAAATAAGTTATTAACTGTTATCAACTTTAAACATATGTTGGAGGAGTTCAATAACTCGGTTGCTGTAACCATATTCATTATCATACCTGTAAATAAACATCAATTAAATAATTCATTTAATTAGTCATTAAATTTCAATTTGTCCTTGTTTTTAGGCCATACAATAGTAAATGTGGCCCTGAGTTCACAAAGCATTCTCAGACTTAAAGTAGCTAAGTCTCTAACTCAGACTTAAAGTAGCTAAGTCTCTAACTCAATATCATCCAAAGTCTTACACGTTGAAAACACGAATTATTTGTCAATTCATATCAACACTGATGTTGTGATCTTACCGGGAAAAGGTAGGCTTCTGATATCCAATATTTAAGACAAAATAAACATTTTACCATTGGTACATAGTGTGTTTCAGCCTCATTTGTAATAAGTGACCAGAAAGAAAGAGGCTAGACATATTCCACATCCCATGTCAAACGGTGACGCCATATCTTATCTGGAGAGCATGAGCAATAGACTGGAATAACCAGATGCTAGAAATTGCTATTCGGTTGAGACTCATGCCGTATTTCGCTTGACATAAGTGATTTGAAATAAAGAGTCAAAACGGAAACAATTGAATGTAAATCAGTTTATATACAACCAGATTACATTATTATATGCGTTGCGACCCATTTAGGTCAATTTCTAGGTCCCAAATATTAGCAATTTAGCTCCTTTAAGAATTTAGTCAACTTTCAATCACTGTTTATAAGAGACATCTTTGATCCAGAAACACTCAACTTTGCATGTAGTTTCTTATTGATTATTTAATACATTAAAACAACAAAAGTTTTATGAAGGAGAATATTTTAGTTCAATTAAGGCGGACAATTCTTAACTGAAGTCTGAGAATGCTTTGTGAACTTTGGACCTGGTATTCAGACAATCATTCCTAAAAATCTGATAAGGGACAGAAGTTCATATTTTTTTTTTTTTTAAGGATCACTTCTCATAACTATGACATTTCAAGACATCTATCGGACTGTGTACCGGATAATGGAGCCTATGGTACATTTCCTGATTCATTCCTGTAACCCAAATAAAAACAGTTTACACGGCTCATTTTAATTCAACTTTAATGACATGAAACTTCGCAGGTTTCTTCCTTGGGCCATTGCGCATATTCAGTTAAATTATTTACCAAGTAACAAGTTTAACGAAGGTATCGTTCAGAGCAATACCGGCCTTGGCATCAAAAATGCTGCTTCGGGGATCGCCACAGAAATCTTGAGATACAACCTGATCTTCTGTGTATCCCAGAATGCCTTTCATTTTTCCTTCAGATGCAGCCTTAATTGTGGCTTTAATACTATCATAGGGTGCCTGAAAATAGAAATCAAATTTATAGATAGGTTGCTAGGCAGCTAAGTCGTCAGGGCAGTCTATAAAAGGTTGTTGTATATTTATACTTTCGTAGAAAATGGCAGCATGTACAAAACATTCAAACGATATTTGAGAGAGAGAGAAATGGGGTTTAACGTCCACTCGACACAAACTAGGTCATTTCGGGACTAACATATGGTTCAATTTTATTTCCCCAATTTGCTTGCGCGTAGAGGTCTTTAGCAGTCGGAGGAAACCGGACAAACGATATTTGAAAAATACTTGTTGTTGTTCTTGGTGTTTAACGTCCGCTTCCACCGAAGGTGATATCGTAGACAAGTCTTATTTTTCATTTTATTATCTTGCAGGGGTCTCTCCTGTGGGAGGAAACCGGAGTAGGCCAAGCCACATACGCTCACACCAGGGATTGAAACCACAACCACAAGCCAGGTGACCGACCAGCTAGAGATCGAAGCGCGGTACTCTAGATCACTAGGCAATCCCAACCCCCTGAAAAATACTCCCTTTTTTCGGGTTTTGTACTTGTGGATGATTGTCTCCCTTGGTTTTCATTGAGTGATGACTAACACTACAGGATGCTTACAGTCAAACCCAGATCCCCAAGATTTAATAGTACTTTAATTGTTTAGTACTTGCAAGCTTGTATTCCTGTGGGTTTGTCATCGTGGTGTGTTTCTCCTGCAGGTATTTTCCCGTAACAGATTGACACTTAACAATGACCAGAGGCCACTATATTTTTCAAAGTGATCCAGGGCCATAACTCTTGCAGTAATTTGGAAATGCATTGAAAGTCGAAAGCCTTCTTCGTCTAATGACCTTAAACAATGTGCACTAATTTTAAGTCAATCGAGTATTAATTATAGCCGCTAGAGTGTCCACAAGCAATTGTAGACGATGAACGGACAGGGGGGACAGCAAAATATGACCACATTTCAATGTGTGCATATTAAAACACTTCTGCAAGACATATCTATCTTTCTACAACAAGAGAGAGAGAAATGGGGCTTAACTCCACTCGACACAAACTAGGTTATTTCGGGACTAACACATGGTTCAATTTTATTTCAATAATTTGCTTGCGCATAGACTACGCTTGGACAGGCAACCATAATCCTTGTCACGTACAACCAGGGATTCAAAACCACACCAGTTGACTCAATGGCAGGTCTTATGATACAGAATGCATGCGCTAACCATTCGGCTACCCCCCCCCCCCTCGCCTGATGACCTTAAACACTGTGCACAAATTTAAAGTCAATCGGGTATTAATTTTAGCAGCTACAGCGTCCACAAGCAATTGTAGACGACAAAAACATGTCCGTAAGATCCATATCTACCTTTCTAAAAGAAACTTTTTAAAAAGCAAACAATAATGTGACTTACGGGTTTCTTCAGACGAACAGTTAAATCAACAACTGAAACATCAGGTACGGGTACTCGGAAAGCCATACCAGTTAATTTACTATAAAAACAAAATTTATAAATAATTAAACTATGCACGATTTCAATTTTCTCACGACTCAATCAACGTTAATAAGAAATGAAATGGGGTTTAACATCCTACTGTTCTGCTCCTAAATTGGTCTAATGAAGACGGACATAGGCCATACAGTGTGGTATGAGGGACATTTGGCCTGGGCAGCGGTACTATGGCCTACTCTCATATCGAATTCCAACTGCGTGCACGACAATACAGGGCCTTGTTTTACATCCCATCTGAAGGACTAAACAGCTGTACTTATCAGGCCCTCCCGTCCATGTTATTAAGTACTCAGATGGATTATTTATTATAAGAAAACTAAATCAAAATACTAACGATAGATTATGTCCTGGATTGGATTTAATTGGGATGAAATTTCAATTCCATATAACTTTGTAAATACTGAACAGAATTGAACCATATTTGACTGATATTACTTTGACAGTTTCAAATTTTCACGATATTGTAAATGAAATGAAATGGGGTTTAACGTCCTACTGTTTCGTTCCTAACTGGGCTAATGAAGACGGGCATATGCCATACAGTGTGCTATGAGGGAAATTTTGCCCGGACAGCAGCACTGCGGCCTACTCTTATATCAAATTCCAACTGTCAAGGGATCTTTTACGTGCATGCCAATGTGTACACAGAACCTCGGTTTTTCGTCCCATCCGAAAGACTAGACATCTGTCCTTGTCAGGCCCCCATCCTGCATCACCGACAAGGGGGAACCACGCCGGAAAATCTGGGTGAACTTTCTTGGCCAATGCAGGGATCAAACACCCGACCTCCAGGCTAGCGAGCCAGGTCTTACCCACTTAGCCACATGATCCCCCCCCCCCCCAAGGAGATTTAAAACATTTGATTTGTATCTCTTTGAATGTGGGCGTATAAAAATAGATAAGAAAAGGAAACTTGCCCGTTAAGTTCAGGGATGACTTTTCCTACAGCTTTAGCTGCACCAGTTGAGGAGGGAATGATGTTTTGAGCTGCTCCTCTACCACCTCGCCAATCCTACAATAAAATATGAATATTCATACATTTCACCAACGATTATAATCACGAAAATTAATCTTTCCAATAAAATACAAATATTGAAACATTTCACCTACGATTAAAATCATGAAAATAAAAATCGTCTAGCCTCTTGAGTAGAATATAATCGCTCATGAATAGAAGTTTGATTTTAGTCCATCTCGAAAACCACTCAAGATATTGTTTTGAAACTTTGTACACATATCAACATAATATAATGGATTTTTATTAATTAGAAATTTCCGATTTAATAATTTTCTGTTTCCATAGAAACAAATTTGAGTTAGTTTTTGATATAAAAGGTCACTGGTTCTCCTTGTTTTGTCTTTTTGAAGTCTCTCAACCATTTGGTTTAAACAAAATTTGTTTTCAATGTTTGCAGTTCTATAACTATTACAATTACAGACTATAGGATACAAAAATAACCATAAATATGATCATAGATATCTTTCCTTTAACATTTATAGTTAAATTCTATATAATAACATACCTTGTTGCTGGGTCCATCTACAATTTTCTGTGTAGCTGTGAAGGCATGACAGGTTGTCATTAAACCTTCTTCAATACCAAAATTATCATTAATAACTTTAACCAAGGGAGCTAGACAGTTGGTGGTACACGAGGCGTTACTCACAACTGTCATACCCTTTTCGTACTTCTCTTCGTTTACACCCATAACAAACATAGGGGCATCAGCTGAGGGGGCAGAAATGACGACTTTCTTGGCTCCGCCTTTGAAATGAGCCTGAAAAAATATTTGAAATATAAACAATTGTGCCAATTGATTTCTTTAAAAAAAAAGATCATTTTAGGACTAACACATGGTACAATTACATTTCAATAATTCACCTTTATGAAAGGTTCTTTGGTAGTGGAGAAAATCGGAGGACCCAAAGAATCCCAAACCCTTGAAATTAGACAGGATATGCTACTCCTTGTCATGTACACATAAAACCATTCTGCCACCCAGTCCCACTTGACCCGAAAATGGGGTTTAACATCCTACTGTTCTGCTCAGACTGGGCTAATGAAGATGGGCACATGCTATACAGTGTGCTATGAGGGAAATTTGTCTGGACAGTGCACTCCGGCCAACTCTTATATCGAATTCCAACTGCCAAGGATTCTTTCACATACATGCCAATGTGTAAATGCTACCTCAGTTTTATTTGTTGCATGAAGGCCTTCATTGGCAAGGAGGAACCACGCAGGAAAATCCAGATGAAATTTTTTTGGCCAACTCTGGGATCAACACGATCCCTTTAGGTTAGGAGCGAACATATTACTCGCTCAGTCACTGTGACTTCGAACTTTCAATTAAAAACTTACTCCAGCTTTGTCTGTTGTCGTGAAAACACCAGTTGATTCTACGACATAGTCAGCACCAGATGCTCCCCAGGGGATTTCAGATGGATCACGGCTGAAACATCATATAATTAACATAGTTTAAAGATGCATTATGTAGGATTTTGATAATGAACGATAGTTTGCCAGGCAATGAAACATATGCCTAAAGCAGCCAAGTTGCCAATCTGATTAAAATACAGATCTATATTTCATTTCGTTTCTTTATACTATTGATGGCCTCTACTACATGAAGATCTGACAAGTTGTACTTGAAGGTCATTCCAGGGGCTGTACGAGCGGCTTTTGACCATATGGCGTCAGACATTAATTAATCAATCAGTGTTGACGTTTCTAGTGGTTTATCAACAATTCCGTGCTTGGCACGCCAAGAAGTCACTGTAACAGATTGGCTTATCCCTCACTTCAACCAAAACGCCGGTAATATAACAACTCTTCCAGATCCTAGTGTAGTAAAGACAAGTAAAACGAAATTTTGAACCATAAAAAAACGAAACGAAATAGGATCTGTGTTTTAATCAGATTGCTAAGTTGTCCGAGCAGTCAACATGGGTTGTCGCATATATTCTTTGTTTTGCCAGTAATGAAAATATACCCAACACACTTTAATCTGATTACATGTACAGCCCATTCAGTAATTATCAGAAATCATTAGAATTTGTTTGCCTTCTAGTTCTGCCCTAACATAATGTTTAGTATACAATTACTCTGGTTAACTCACAACATGTGATGTTATTACTCTGATAACTCACAACACTAGTATACAATTACTCTGGTTAACTCACAACATGTGATGTTATTACTCTGATAACTCACAACATGTGATGTTATTACTCTGATAACTCACAACATGTGATGTTATTACTCTGATAACTCACAACATGCGATGTTATTACTCTGATATCTCACAACATGTGATGTTATTACTCTGATAACTCACAACATGCGATGTTATTACTCTGATAACTCAACATGTGATGTTATTACTCTGACAACTTACAGCATGTGAACAGCGATGGTATAATTACTCAAATAACTCACAACATGTGAACAGCAATGTTAGATTACCGGTACTCTGATAAATTCTAACATGTGAACAGCAATGTTATAATACTCTGATAACTCACAACATGTGAACAGCGATGTTATAATACTCTGATAACTCACAGCATGTGAACAGTGATGTTATAATATTCTGATAACTTATAACATGTAACTTACAGCATGTGAACAGTAATGGCTTTTCCATTTATTACCAGTTTACCATCTTGAGCTTTCACGTCTCCCTTAAATCTGCCATGTGTAGAATCATATTGGAACATGTATACCTTTAAAATAGAATATATATAAAAAAAAATTATCTAACGAACATCTACACCAGATGCGATAGGGTTTAACGTCCATTCACCACAAACTAGATCATTTCGGGACTAACACATGGTTCAATTTTACTTCAATAATTCACTATTGCATAGGGAGTGGTCTTTATGTATGGGAGGAAGCCGGTGGACCCGGTGAAACCATACTCCTTGTCAAGTACAAGAGGGGAATCAAAACCACAGCAACACACTTTATGATCTAACGATTCAAACACTCGCCCCCCACAGCCTTTTTAAAGATGATTTTACCGTTATAATAATAAAATATAGCCAGAACTTACCATGTAGTCAAGTTCGATAAATGGATCGTTGACTGCAACAACCTCGACATTATTGTCAATGGCCGCTCTCATCACCAAACGTCCAATTCTTCCAAATCTGGATAAAACCAAGAAATAATAAGTAAGCATTATTGGGGAATTAAGCATGGTCATTAAATATGGTTTAACTTTTCTTCCAAATCTGGATAAGAGCCACTGATAAAACAATAAAGAAATCGAGAGATATGGGGTTAAACGTCCACTTAACACAAACTAGGTCATTTCGGGACTAACATGGTTCAATTTTATTTCCATCATTTGCTTGCACGCATAGGGGTCTTTAGCAGTGGGAGGAAACTGGAGAAAATGCATGGGGTTGGACAGGCAACCCTATTCCTTTTCACTACAACTGGGGAATGGAAACCAACCAGTTGACTCAATGACATACATTATGATACAACGCGCACACACAAACCATTCAGCCATCAACCTCCCGATAAAATAAAGCAAGCATATTGGGGAAGCATGGTCATGAAATGGGGTTTTAAATTTTCTGAAATAGAACAGGCTAATGAAAAAAGGCATGCGCTATGCAATGGCATGGCTAATCAAGAAGGGCATGCACTATACAATGGCATGCTGCCTTCTATTCATGTACAGGACAGAAGTCGTTCAGATGGAATTTGATATAAGAATAAGTCGTAGAGCCACTGCCTGAGCAAAATACCCCTCATAACACACTGTAAAGTGTATGCCTATCTTCATTAGCCCAGTTGGAGCAGAACAGTAGGATGTTAAAGCCCATTTCATTTCAGTTGACTCATTATTTAATTCCAACCATGAAGGTTCTCATTAGACGCGTGACACTGTGTGCGAGACCTTCGTTTTCGTACCAATCAAGCGACTTTACAGTCTGTTGCTAGGTTCCCTGTCCTCACCAGTGACAAGGAGAAACTGTGCCGGAAAAAACCCAATGAACTTTCCAAGAAAAGACTGGGAATGAACACATGGGACCACCATGTTAACAAGCCAACACCTGTTCCTCGTACAGCAGATATATCAATCAAATATCAATCAATCGGTTAAAATGTTGCAGTTTTACACCCAAGTTTTGAAGTAACTGATGTTTTTATTAATAAGAAAAACACTAATTAGAAACTTACCCATTGATTCCAATTTTAAGAGTCATTTTTAGGCTTTAATTTCTGAAAAATTAGAATTGTATGCAAATTATAAATATGAAGCTAAATGTAGCCAATGTTTAAGGGTAAAGACAAGACAGATGGACTTTCAATTAACCTACATGTGAAGCACACTAGCATGATGCTCACTTCACTAGATCACCTTCTATTAGTAAGCTTACTATCACCTATAGTACCTGGCCCACCTGCCTTCACCTAACTTGGCATTCTGCATGCACTCTCAAAGAGGTCAAGGTCAGTTCATCACCTCTGCTAATTACAAAATTACAATGAGAATACCAAATGAGATAATATTGGAGTTTATGATAGTAGGTAACCTTGACCTTGGTATGTCTAGACCTTCTACGATCATAGGGTCACATTCATAACAAAAATACAGGTACAATGTACATGTACAAGTAACTATCACAGCCTAAAACAAACTGATTTTTTTTTATAATATGCTGTGTTGAGAACAGAAAGCTGAATGAGAAATTCATAAACGTAGTAAGATAAAGAGCTAAAACATATTTTTTTTTTATCTCTCTCAAATATTCAGTAACAATACTAACAATGAAGGGAAGATCCAGAAACTTAATGTCATGAAAAAAAAAAAATGTCATGCTTCACAAGTTACATGTAGATATTCCAATACTTCAAACAAACCTATAACTATTATCCCAGTCCACTAACTGTATATATACATGTATGTACATGTAGAACAATATTCAACCAGTCAGTGTAACCAAGCCTTTATACAACCTTCAAGCCCACACCCATTTAACTATTCTTTGTAATAATCAAATAACATTGCATCAAGCTCTTTCATTAAACTTGATTTACCACTGTGTTAGCTAAATTAACATCAACGATCTAATGCAAGTTTCATAAAGAAATTCATCAGACATGTATGAATAAGTTATGAAAATGTACCCATACATATTATCACTATTTCTGAATGAATATTAATCAGATTTCTAAACTTCAAACACCATTAGACTGCATTATTTCCCTTTCCAATGGTTTAACTCAAAAGATCTGTCCTTCATAGTGGCCATGCTTGAAAAACACCTCATTAAAATGGTTGAACAACCTATAGAGCCATCAGTATTTATCATAATTTTTAACATTACTTTACAGATTTATGATCAGGGTACAGGAGAACATGGGATGGGCATCAACTGTAGTTGATACATAGCAAGAAATAATCAAGCCCAAGCCTGGAAATAAGGCACAGATTCAGGCTTTGTCAGGCACAAAACCTCTGGTGTCTGTCGGCACTGATTCTGATTTGTCTTTTTTATTGATATTATTAATACATGTCTGGCACTAAGTTGAAAATGTCAGGCATCGACATTTTGTCTGGTACATGTACTTCTAAAACCGTTATTTCCAGGACTGCAAGCCATCAAAACTATTTATCCGTTCCACATGTATCAACCACTATTGGAAACAAAACATTAAGAAGACAGCATCTAGGGGGAAAAAATCCAAATTCAAAAGATCTTGAGTGTGACAAATCAACGAATATTTTAACAACCGGGTAAACGTGGAGAAAAAAAAAAATGACTGTGCCAGCTTCAGATAATGCCGGTCTGAACAAAAGAAAAATAAACAATGTAATTTTCTAAAATTGTTATCTGTAATTCAGTAACACTAGAGTTATTGTTTGATGGACTATCTGCACTGATTTTTATCTATAGGCCAATACAAGCTACTACTGCACTAGTGAGAATGCATAGTTTAGCTTTAAGGCTTTCTCACAGAAATTGTCATTGACTGCATGAGGTTCAGCATTCATTGAAGGGCCAACTTTAATTGGGCCTATATTTGGCCTCACCATGCATCCTAGTTACTATATATAAGGCGTTTTTATCGACCACTGAATAGCCAAAGTGATTTGCATTCAATCAAATTTTCATCTTTAACGTCCATCTAATTCAAATTGGTTACCCTAATCAACGAATTTATCGACACCAATTTCCGAAGCGATTACATCAAATCGCCAAATCACTTCAGGGTGCGATTTGACCGGGTGATCACATGTTTTTTTCAACTGTGTCCAGCCACAACAATTGTTTACAGCTAATCGGAGCATTTAACGAACTCGCCAAAGTACCTCGAAATCGACTATACTGTCACATGACATCTCCACTAAATTCAAATCGATTTGGCAAGTCGATAAAAAAGCCTATAAATTCTCTTCCAATGTTTTGTAAGAATTAAGTGTCATTAGTGATGAAAAATAAGTACTTAATTTGAATTGTCCTTAGTACTTTCCAAGGGCAAGGTCCTTTCAATTGTTCATTAAGGGACACAACCAACAAATAAATGAGAAATGTCAACAACTAAAACAAGATCATATTCCTGAAGAAATGTCAGGGGAAATGTATGCTTTGGTGTAATCAAAGAACTGCAAGGAGTGTGAAACCAGTCAGACTGGAGCTACGCCAGAAGAAGGATGTATACGCCACTCACCGACCTTGACAATGACATTAACTGGTGAAATCAAGGTCATTATTTTTACAAGGTTTAAAAAGATCGTTTGCTAATAATATTCTGACATTAATAATGACAATTTCGCGTCAAGGATTAGAAGTTTTTAATAATCTTTTTCTGCTGATCTCGAAAACTTCGATAAAACATCCTGGGGTATTAAAGCCGACTAATCGAAGATGGCAGCTGAGCTTGCAATTTTTCTTGGAACCGGTCACATTTACCCATGTATAATTTTCTTGATTAATCGATATTAACAATTTAACAAGCTTGCTACTGAGACGTGCGAAATCTAAGTTCATTAAAATACCATAGTTGGCAAACCAAATATTGATAAATTTAGCGATACATTACCTGTGCTTTCGCTGACTAAACACGTCGTCCTCAACTAAAATCCACCGGTAATGAAGAGAGAGCGCATGCGTAGCCGAATCGGACCTGGCAAACGCACATTTTTTTTTTAATTCATGTCATCGTGTATTTTCTACCATGTACATATTTTGGTTTTTGTTATCTTCACATGAAACATATCTGAAACTAAGCGAATGATTAGAAAAGTCTTTTATATTATATAGTCAAGACAAATAAACCCAAACATTTTTTCTAAGTATTAAAATGGAGTGCTTTCCCTTTGACCATAAATTAACCCTTGGCCTTTGCACAGGCAAGCCAGACCCTCAAATGCAACCACCTCCAGCAAAGCTATCGGGGCTAAAACTCACTGGACAGCAAGTCTAGACAATGAAATGGGGTTGAACCATATCAGGCAAATGAAAACGAGCATACATCATGTGGTGTGCAATGTGGGGAATTTTGCTTGGATATGGCCTGCTCTTAGGGCTATATTGAATTCCATTAACTGCCATGATCTATCTAGGGTTCTTTTATTTTACATGCAGGTCGTCGGGGATCACGTGGCTAAGGGGGTAAGACGCTGGCTCGCTAGTCTGCGATGTCGCGTGGTCGGTCCCTGCAGTTCATCCAGATTTTCCCGCGTGCTTCCCCCTTGTCAATGATGTTCTGATGGCACGATAAACCAAAGTCTTGTGTACACATTGGCGTGCACGTAAAATATCCCTTGACAGTTGGAATTCGATATAAGAGTAGGCCGTAGTGCTGCTGTCCGGGCAAAATTTCCCTCATAGAACACTGTATGGCGTATGACCGTCTTCATTAGTCGAGTTCGGAGCAGAACGTAGTAGGACGTTAAACCCCATTTCATTTCATTTCTACATGCAGGCAAACATGTAGCCTACACAGGACCTCAATTTTTCATATGATATGAAGAACAATTGCCTCTAAATTCATATACATGTAATTGAAAACACATTTTTCCATTTCACTTGTATAATAACAAAACTAATCAATATTTAGGCCTAGTATAAAAAAATCAATTTATTCAAACAATTCATAAAAATAGAAACTCAACAATTTGATAATATCTGTTTCAAACAACCCTGTGGTTTCCAGCGGGCTTTATCAAGTTAGGTCATGAACTCCTGATTTCATACACAAAAACAAACTGTCCACAAGACAGCATATCCATAAATACATTTATACAAAAAATTATATTTAAAGCAAATTCTTAAAGATGCATTACATAAGATTAGATAAAGAGCTGACAGTTCTCGCTATAATAATTAACAATTAGATAATGAAAAGGGAATATGTTGAAAATTTCATTCAAATTACTTCATTCTGAGCAGAGTTATTGCCATTTGAAAAACAGAGTAGTCTTGATTGTCATTGAAAATAAACAAAGTCTCAATTATCCATTTTTTAATTAAATTATTAACATGCAATCATGTGTAAATCTGTTGAATATCACAACCATCCGACGATCTAGAGAGTTGATTATGGGCTTGGTATGTGAATAAATGTGGAAAAAATGTCTAATTAATGATTACATAACATTTAAGGCTAAAAGAAACATCAGCTATAGGCAGATTTAGCTCTTACATAATGTATCTTTAACATCTACGCTGTAAATTATCATAGCCATAAATTCTACTTATCACATTACCATCAAAAATACACTCTTATAATCATTGACAAGTTAAAGAAATTCAGTAGTGCCGCTGCCCGGGCAAAATTTCCCTCATAGCACACTGTAAGGCGTATCTCTGTCTTCATTAGCCCAGTTCGGAGCAGAACAGTAGGACGTTAAACCCCATTTCATTTCAATATTATCTAGTGATGGAATTTCGCCTGTATATACCCGACATGTCCGGTGCTATTTTCCAAACGTCCTAAATTGTTTGACCAGGAATATGCCCAATCGGACATCAAGACTTGGTGAATAATATTCAAAATTCCATATTTAATATAGTGTACTGGGTGTATATCTACCTCTCATACTATGGTCCATGATATTCAAAATTAAAACACGAATCAGAATTCAATATTGACATTTCAATTTATATTGATGTTGTCATCATGCCGTGAAAATAGGGGATCCTATTATCCAATATTTAAGACACAATGAACATTTTAAAGTCAGTATATGATGTCATATATTCTATGGAAATACCCAAGCTTCATTAGCCAAGTCTGAACAAAGAGTGGGATGTTAAGCTCCATTTCTATGGGCATACTGGTTTCTAGCACCATTTGTAATGAACAAAGAAAAACATACCCCACAAGACAATAAGAAAGAAATAAAAAATATCTACTTAATTATCTCATGTTATTTTTGTATCTTAAATTTAGGGATATTTTTTTATTATCTCTCATTAAATAATATTTTGATAATTTTAGTTTTATTATTAAATATGAAAATTGGTGAGAAAAGAATACAAATAAATAATAAAACTTGCACAGCATATATTTACCCTGACAAATACACTTGCTAAACTATAAATATTACCTGTGACAGCAAAACGAGCCAGAGGTCATTATTAACGATATATGAGGTAGGCCAACAATATAAACAAGTTTTAGTTAGCTTTATTTGTCAAATCTAAACTTTTATCTTTCGTATTATAGCATTAAAAAGATATTTTAGCCTATTTTAATATTATTGTTCATATCATAAAAGACTTCTGACTCAGTTTGTTATAAGGGACGTTGGGTGGCTGAATGGTTAGCACATGCGCGCTGTATCATAAGGCCTGTCATTGAGACAGCTGGCGTGGTTTCGAATCCCCGGTTGTACGTGACAAGGAGTAGGGTTGCATGTCCAACCTCGTGGTTTTTCTCTGGGTCCTCCGGTTTCCTCCCACTGCTAAAGACCCCTACACGCAAAAAAAATTATTGAAATATAATTAATCCATGTTAGTCCCGAAATTACCTAGTTTGTGTCGAGTGGACGTTAAATCCCATTTCTCTCTCTCTCACATGTGGTAAGATATGAAATACAGGAATCAAATACTGGTCATTGAGTAAAGTGGTGTGGTTGTGGGTCGCCTGTCTAACCTTGTGAATTTTCTCAGGGTCCTTCAGTTTCCTTTCACTGCTAAAGACCCCTACCTTTCGTGTTTATTTTTAGTCTATGCTAACATTTTTGTTCGTATCATACAAGATTTGCCACTTCCGACTCAGTTTGATTTATTTGTCAGTCTAAACTTTTACCTTTCATGTTATATCATTATTAAAAAGATATTTTTAGTCTATTTTAACATTATTGTTCATATCGTAAAAGACTTGAGACATCTGACTTATTTTGCTATCACAGGTCACATATATTAAACCTGAATGTATAAAATTATAAGAACTGGATTGTATTATTATTACTCATGTATATATTTAATTTGAATATAAATAATAAATATAACAGATAATACCATAGATACGTACAATTTAAATATAAATAATATATATATATATAGATTACAATATTAAAACTTCATACACGGCTAAACAAGATATTTATTGATTGCAAGTGGAAATACTTGAGTTATTACATTATTAAAACTTCATACACGGCTAAACAAGACATTTATAGATTAAATGTGGAATACTTGAGTTATTTAGAGACTAGCATCTAGTTGTGTTTATTTCATTGATTAAGTGTGAAGTTGAGGAGAATTTAGCCTGAATGAGTGGGCTTTAACATCCACTTGACATAAACTAGGTCATTTCAGGTCTAACATAAGGTTCAATTTTATTTCAATAAATCGCTTGCGCATAGGGATGTTTTTATTTCCACCATATTAATTATCTGGTAACAATTTATAAGGATTTAATATTCCGTTAGGATCCATCAATAATTTCATCCTCTTCATCAAGTCCACGGCACTTTTAGATTTACTGTGGTATATGAAGTTACGTTTTTTAAAACCCAGTCCATGTTCCGCGCTAATGCTGCCTTTATACTTGGATACCCAGTCATAGATAAAGGGTTCTATTAGATTCATTAACTTCTCATCATATTGTGGTGATGTTACATTCAAATGTAGATTTCCTGAAATTAGAGAGAGAAACGTGGTTTAATGTCCACGCAACATATGCCAGGTTATTTCGTCCAGATTTATTTCAAGAGTTTGATTACGCGTAGAAGTGGGAAGAAACAAGAAGACTCGGAGATAACCCACAACGTTAGGCAGGAAACCCTACTTCTTGTCATGAGCAAGCACGAGATTGAAAGCACTCCAATTAAAGCAATGACAGCCCGTATGATCTAAAGCACATGTTAGATCAATTACTCCTCCCAACCCCCACCTCCCACCATTCGGCAAGTGACCCTACTTGTCACGTGCAAGCTTGAGATTGAACCCACTCCGATTAAATCAATGACAGACCTTATGATCTAAAGCACATGTTAGACCAATTGCACCTCTCCACCCGCCACCGACACTGTAAACAAAATTTAAAATTTTTATTGGCTAATGGTTTGTCAGGTCTAATAGGTGTCCAGTTTAAGATAAGCATGCATCATTATATCAATATGTATCAGGTATATAAATATGTTGTACAGCTGAGTAAAGACTGTTAAAAATCAATATCTGTAATATTCAGTCTTGTATCACATTTATTCAATATTTCTATGTTGATAGGCTTGTTTATTCTATGACTTATAGTTATGGTAGTGTTGACATATTTACTACAAGTACAAAAACCAGAGCTGTGATCACGTACAAGAACGAGCTGTGATCAAGTACATTAACCAGAGCTGTCTATGATCAAGTACACTAACCAGAGCTATCTATGATCAAGAACCAGAACCAGAACTGTTAATCAAGTACAAGAACCAGAGCTGTGATCAAGTACACGAACCAGAGCTGTGATCAAGTACACGAACCAGAGCAGTGATCAAGTGATAATTGTGAACCGTGATAGCAAAATGAGTCGGAAGTCACAGGTCACAATTAGAAATACCCAATATTTTGTGATTAGAAGAGAAATTTCTAATTAACAAAAGGCATAATACTGATATTTTGGTGTGTGTACAAAGTTTCAAAAAGATATCCTGATTTAAACTCCGGAAAAAAAAATTCAACAGAACAATGAACAGACAGACTTAGACCTCTTCAATATACCTCCCTGAACTCTTTTGGCAGGGGATAATAAAAATGAGAAAAGGGTCACTGTAAATTTGAGATGTGTTTTCAGATTTGAGAAAATTTTATCCTAACTATCTCCCACATGACCGTAACCAACGACTCGAGTTGCTAGACTACCAACTCTCATATCGCTGACAAGTTTACAAAACTTTTATACTAACCATCGCCTACATGACCATAACCAACGACTCTAATTGCTAGATCACCAACACGAACTGTCATATCGTCTACAAGTTGATAAAACTTTTATACTAACCATCGCCTACATGACCGTAACCAACGACTCTAGTTGCTAGATCACCAACACGAACTCTCATATCGTCTACAAGTTGATAAAACTTTTATACTAACCATCGCCTACATGACCGTAACCAACGACTCTAGTTGCTAGATCACCAACACGAACTCTCATATCGTCGACAAGTTGATAAAACTTTTATACTAACCATCGCCTACATGACCGTAACCAACGACTCTAGTTGCTAGATCACCAACACGAACTCTCATATCGTCTACAAGTTGATAAAACTTAGATAAAGGTAATGATACATCATACTTGTAATTATATCCATCCACCATTAATCCTTCCGCCATTCTTTCTCTTAATCCCCAAATATTCTGAAATAAAATATATTAAACATACATTATACAAGAGCTAAATCTGCCTATTGCAGGTCTTTCTTTAGGCCTGAAATGTTATCTAAATTATTAATTAGACATTAATTCACTTATCCAGACCATAATCAACTCTCGGCGTCATCACTAGCCTGTGATATTTACTTGACTTGAATCCGATCGGTTGCTTAACGATCATTGATGATCAAATCCAAAAATGGATAATCAAGACTATGTTTTTTTATCCTATTGACTTTAGTAATGATGATCGAGGCTAGGCCTAAAATTCAAAAGCTAATATCTCGGTTCAGAGTGGATCAATTTGACTGAACATTTCAGCAAAGTCCCTTAACATTATCTTGTTTTTAACTATTATAGTGAGAACTGCCAGCTCTGTATCTAATCTTGTATATTTAACAATCAACAAAATATCATTTCAGCCTAACACAAGGCTGAATTTATTATTACTGCACAATGTTTCGACGAGGATAATCTTTTCTTTATCAAGCAAATGAGTGAAGTCCATATCCCTACAGGCCGGGACTGAAGAGTAAAGTGGACGCTTACATCTAGTCCCCTGATTCTATTTATTTGATTAGATATATACTTTTGTTGTTTATTGCATGGAATGTCCTTGTTTTGTTTGTCTTGTCTGCAGGTTGTCTTGTTGGAGAGAGAGAAATGGGGTTTAACTCCACTCGACACAAACTAGGTCATTTCGGGACTAACACATGGTTTAATTTTATTTCAATAATTTGCTTGCGTGTAGGGGTCTTTAGCAGTGGGAGGAAACCGGAGGACCCGGGGAGGACCCGGAGAAAACCCACGAGGTTGGACAGGCGACCCTACTCCTTGTCACGTACAACCAGGGATTCGAAACCACGCCAGTTGACTCAATGACAGGCCGTATGATACAGCTTGTCTTGCTGGCTTCTTTTTGTTTCTAAACAAAATGAAATGAAATGAAATGAGGGTCTAACATCTTATTTTTCTGCACCGACTGGGAAAATGAAGACGGGCGTACGCCATACAGTGTGCTATGAGGGAGAGAGAAATTTTGCCCAGACAGTGGTGCTATGGGGTACTCTTATATCGCATTCCAACTGTCAAGAGTTCTTTTATGTGCACGGTACTTGGTTTTTCGTTCCATCTGAAATACTAGGAAAATGTCAATGTCAGGCCTTCCGTCCTGCACCAAGGTTAAACCACCTGAGGAACTTTCCCAGCCAAAACCGGGAGTGAACCAGAGACCTCCAGACTAGCGAGCCAGCGCCTTACTCACTGAGCCGTCGGGTGTTCGATCCTTGCATTGGCCGAGAAAGTTCATCCAGATTTTCCGGCGTGTTTCCCCCTTGTCAGTGATGCAGGACGGAGGGCCTGATAAGGACAGCTGTCTAGTCATTCGGATGAGACGAAAAAGCGAGGTCCCGTGTACACATTGGCGTGCACGTAAAAGATCCCTTGACAGTTGGAATTCAATATAAGAGTAGGCCGTAGTGCCGCTGTCCGGGCAAAATTTCCATCATAGCACACTGTATGGCGTATGCCCGTCTTCATTAGCCCAGTTTGGAGCAAAACAGTAGGACGTTAAACCCCATTTCATTTCATTTACTCCCAATTATAGACTTGTATCTGACTTTAATTTTAGCGTCTTGTCTCGTTACAACATTCACCCATATCTTATATACTTACTGCTATTTTAGTTGATTCTGTTGCCACGGTTCCATCTGCTATCAGACCAGATGACATTTGATTTTCTAGAAATGCTGTTAATTTTTCTTCATCATGTTTGCCGTCCGACCCTCCAGTTTCAATCAACACGTAAAAGGGGAACTCACTAACAGGACTAGTTAAATTTAAATTGTCTCTCACTGTATCCATTGACGCCGAATCCATAAACTCAAACGCTAGCAGAATTTCACCAAGACTATGTTTGGCTTCTTTAAAAAGCGACAAAACAATTTCAAATGTTTCACACCCTGAAAAAACCCCCAAAATCTGTAATTTACCAAGTGAATATTTTTGACCAACATATAGCAATATCACCATCATTTTGAGAGAGAGAGAGAGAGAGCACTTAACTCCATTCGACAATGTCTAGGTGATTTCAGGACTAACATAAGGTTCAATTCTTATTTCAATAACTCGCTTACGCGTAAGGGACTTTAGCAGTGGGAGGAAACTGGAGGACCCGGAGAAAACCCACGAGGGTGGACAGGTGACCCTACTCCTTGTCACATACAAGCGGGGGAATTGAAACCACACCATTTGACTCATCTACAGACCTTATATTATAACGTGCGTGCATGAACCCATTCGGCCAACCAACCCCGTCTGAGAGAAAGGGGGGTGGGGGGTGGATGGCTGAATGGTTAGCGTGTGCGCGCTGTATCATAAAGTCTGTCATTGAGTCAACTGGCGTGGTTTCGATTCACCGCTTGTACGTGACAAGGAGTAGGGTCACCTGTCCAACCTCGTTGGTTTTCTCCAGGTCCTCCGGTTTCCTCCCACTACTGAAGACCATTGTGCGCAAGTGAATTATTGAAATAAAATTAAACCATATGTTAGTCCCGAAATGACCTAGTTTGCGTCGAGTGGACGTTAAACCCCATTTCTCGCTCTCTCCGTCTGAGAGAATATTGAGTAACACAATAGAACTGTCGCGATCATTTTGAGACTAACACATATGTTTTGTGTTTGTGGTCATGTATGCAATGTTAGCGAGTGGATTTTGACTGGACAGCAGCATTTCTGCCAAATTTTCACCAAATTTCAACTACCAATTAAGGGTTTTATTAACAGTGTCTACTTGGGGGTTTTGTCCAATACGAACGATTTGACAAAACTGTCCATATGTCACTCCCCTGCAGGCAATTTCCACTTTCTAAACAAAATGGGATCAGAGTTTTGACCAGAATCCCATAAAACTTACAATCTGATTCAAATACAAACTATATTTCGTTTCGTTTTTTTATACTTTCGATGGCCTACACTACATGATCTGATCGGTTGTAGAGATAGGTCACGTCAGAGGTCATACAAGTGGCTTTGACCCTATAACGTCAGACATTTGATTAACCAATCAGCATTGATGTTATTAGTGAAAAAGCTCGTCGTAACAGACCATTTCATTGGTTAATACCTCACACCATTCAGAACACGTCAATGATAAGAACTCTTCCAGATCCTAGTGTAGTAAAGACAAGTAATAGAAATTTTAAACCATAAAAAACGAAACAAAATGGGATCTATGTTTTAACCAGATTGATAAAACTTACCTAAAAAAGCCACACTAACAGATTTGGGTTTCTGTGGACACAGAATAGAGACGGCAGTTATTATACCCAGAGTTCCCTCGGAACCTATAAATAGTTGTTTAAGGTCGTAACCTGTATTATCCTTCCGTAACGTTGATTTACAATCTACTATCTCCCCACTGGCTAAAACCTACAATACAATATCTACAATACAATATCTACATCTATAATCTCATCATTGAATAAAACCTACAATACAATATTTAACATCCACTCAACATAAACCAGATCATTTTGGGACTAACATATGGTACAATCGTATTTTAATATATATAGGTAATTTCGGGACCAACTCACGGTCCAATTTTATTTCAATATCTTGCTTTGCGTGTAGGAGTCTATCGCACTGGGAGAGATGGTGTTTTACTGCCATTTAACAGTATTTTCTGTATTTGTAGCATTCAAGCTTTGGACCGAACCCATGACATGCACAGATAACAGGCAATAAGATCTACTGCCTTCATTAAACCTTTCAGACTTTTTTTATTGACTAGCATATATAGTGTAAATAAAGGATAGTAACTAAATCAACAAGAGCATTGCTAACGCTGCAATATACGTCCACATTCCAGCTTTGATTGATATGGTACTTTTTAAAATGAAGAGAATGAAAATGAAATGGCTGTAATATGATCAGAGGCAAAGAAGGCTAGGCGTCGGGTTTGTTTTGCCAAATTTACAGACAAAATACTAACAATAAAGTGGGTGTGACACTGCCCCAAGAGGTCGGGGCAAGTATCAAAATAAATTGTTGCTGTCTTTATGGTATAAGGAATAAATATGCAAAGTTCCAAGATGATCCATTCAGAATTGCAGTCTGTAGACGATAAATACAAAAACTGGGCGTGGCTCTGCCCATGGGGGTTGGATATGGAAACAATATAAACAGGTACCATTCTGTTATTGAAATGGCAACATCAATAGTTGCCGTCCTTAGGGTATAAGGAATAAGTACACCAAGTTCCAAAATAATCCTTTCAGAATTGTGGCCTTTGGGCGTTAAAGGCAAAAATTGGGCGTTGCTCTGCCCCTGGACGTTGCTCTGCCCCTGGGCGTTGGGGCATTCACCAAAATCAATAGTTGATGCCCTTAGGCTATAAGGAATACATATGCCAAATACCAAGTTGATCCATCCAGAATTCGGGCCTGTAAACGATAAACATAAAAATTGGGCGTGACTCTGCCCCTGGGGGTGTGACATGCAGTTGTCGTCCTTAGGCTATAAGGAAAACATATCCCAAGTTCAAAGACAATCCATTAGGAATCGTGGCCTGTATGCAACTCACAGAGACACAAAGAAAAAAATGGGTGTGGCTCTGCCCCTGGGGGTTGGGCAATCACCAAAAAAATAGAGGTCAGCCTTGGGGTATAACGTATAAGTATAAAAAAGTTTTCAAGATGATCGATTAAGCATTGCAGGCTGTAAGTGACATACAGACACACAAAAAGAAAATGGGTGTGGCTCTGTCCCTGGGGGCTGGGCATTCACCACAAACAATAGGGATGTTCCTTAGGATAGAAGGAGTAAGCATGCAAAGTTTCAAGGTGATACGTTACGAAATGCGGTCTGTAGATAACAAACAATGAATACAAGAAATGGGCGTGGCTCTGCCACTGGGGGTCGGGCATGCACCAAGAACAATAGGGATCATCCTTAGGGTATAAGGAATTCATATGAAATTTTTTCAAGACGATCGATTAAGAATTGTGGCCTGTAGGCGACACACAGACACACAGAGAGAAAATGGGCGTGGCTCTGGCCCTGGGGGTTCGGCATGCGCCCCAAACGATAGGGGTGTTCCTTAGGGTATAAAGAAAAAGTATGCAAAGTTTCAATATGATGCGTTAAGAAATGCGGCCTGTAGACGACAAACAAACAAATACAAGAAATGGGCGTGGCTCTGCCCCTGGGGATCGGGAATGCACAAAAAACAATAGGGATCATCCTTAGGGTATAAGGAACAAGTATGTAAAGATTCAAGGTGATGACTTAAGAATTGTGGCCTGTAGGCGACACACAGCCACACAAAAAGAAAACGGGCGTGGCTCTGTCCCTGGGGGTTGGGCATGCACCCCAAACGATAGGGATGTTCCTTAGGGTACAAAGAATAAGTATGCAAAGTTTCAATATGATACGTTAAGAAATGGGGCCTGTAGACGACAAACAAACAAATACTAGAAATGGGCGTGGCTCTGCCCCTGGGGGTCGGGCATGCACCAAAAACAATAGGGATCTTCCTTGGGGTATAAGGAATAAGTATACCAAGTTTGAAGAAAATCCAGTAAGAATTGCGCCCTGTAGGCGACACAAAGACACACGAAAAGAAAATGGGAAATGGGCGTGGCTCTGCCCCTGGGGGTTGGGCATGTACCCCAAACGATAGGGATGTTCCTTAGGGTACAAAGAATGTGTATGCAAGATTATAAGTTAAGAAATGTGGCCTGTAGACGACAAACAAACAAATACTAGAAATGGGCGTGGCTCTGCCCCTGGGGGTCGGGCATGCACCAAAAACAATAGGGATCTTCCTTGGGGTATAAGGAATAAGTATACCAAGTTTGAAGAAAATCCAGTAAGAATTGCGCCCTGTAGGCGACACAAAGACACACGAAAAGAAAATGGGCGTGGCTCTGCCCCTGGGGGTTGGGCATGCACCCCAAACGATAGGGATGTTCCTTAGGGTACAAAGAATGTGTATGCAAAGTTTCAAGATTATTAGTTAAGAAATGTGGCCTGTAGACGACAAACAAACAAATACTAGAAATGGGCGTGGCTCTGCCCCGGGGGGTCGGGCATGCACCAAAAACAATAGGGATCTTCCTTGGGGTATAAGGAATAAGTATACCAAGTTTGAAGAAAATCCATGAAGAATTGCGCCCTGTAGGCGAACCACAGACACACACACACACACACACACACACACACACATACATACATACACACACACACACACACAGACAGGGGCGACGGCATAATACGTTCACATTATGAATGTGGACGTATAAAAAGTCATTTTTTTTTTTCTTTAAAATCAAAAAGAGAGAGTGAAATGGGATTTATGAGAGAGAGAAGTAGAGAGAGATTTTGGGGGGATTAACATACAGTACAATTTTATTTCAATAATTCACTTGCGCGTAGGGGTCTTTAGCAGTGGGAGGAAATCGTAGGACCCAGAGAAAACCCACAAGGTTGGACAGGCAAAAACATGAACAGAGTATAACTGAAGTACTTACTGCTTCTAAACCTAGAACCGACCCATGTAGTGAACCATATCTTAATAAACGTACACCTCCGGCATTGGTTGATAGATTACCACCAATATGACAACTACCTTTAGCTCCAAGATCTAACGGCATCGTCAGGTTAGAATCACTCACATACGAGTCTAATGCTGCTAAAACACAGCCTGCTTGACATTCCAGTGTTCCTGATAAAATTCATAAATTTCATAATGTGAATTTTAAATTATAGAAATCCCTTGTAAACTACAATATTATAAAAGTTAAATCTCTAATGGGAATATCAATCCAAAAATGATTCAATTTCGTTTACAAAGACAAGTGGATTTGAAATTTCATTGATCTATGTTGATCGATCATAACAAGATGCTTCAATCTTTTATCAGTATCGGAGAATAATGATGTGCCTAGTTTAAAGTATGGTCTGAGAAAGCTGGAGACTAATGATCGTAAGACATCTGTACTGGGATCTCAGCGATACATGACGGGGGTTCATATAGAAGACAATGTCAGATGAGACACAATCCCTGTAACCAATATAAGTTACTGAAGAAGGACTCCTCTTGTCCGAAACCTCTTGATTACACCTAGGGACTAACATAAAATTCTATTTTATTTTTATGTTCTGCGTGTGTGTAGGGTTCTTAGCAGTGGGAGAAAACCTGTGATATTGGACAAGCGAACCTACAAGCTGGGAATTGGAAACATGTCACAAAAGCGGTGGACATATTATCCGAATCATTCGACGAATCAACTGGTGCCAAAGTATATTCGGTTGAATGGGTGCACACACTAGGCGAATCCTTTGCTTGATTCAAATTCGACCAAAAATATCGAGCATGTTTGATTCGGGCGAATCATTCAGCTGAATCACAGTGGACACACTAGGCAAATTTCGACGCTGATTGATTCGATCGAACGATTCGCCGAATCGTTCAGCTAGTGTGTCCACTGCCTTTAACTCAATGACAGTCCTTTATGACCTAAAGTGTACACACCTGAAATATCATCTAAGCTGATTATTTGGTTCATTAACTGTGTAGATATAATGATCTCATCAAATACTGGTACACTTCCTCCGACCAGTCCCGTATTTCCACCTTGTGGCACCACTGCAAGTTTTCGTCCATTACAATATTCTAATATTTTACTTACTTCATCTGTTGTCTTCGGACGTAGCAATAGTTGACTACTACCTGATAAAAATAAAACAAAATCAAATAGAATAAAAACAACATTATATGTAAACTCAATAGAACAATAACTAGACATTGTTCCTCGCTGGGGGTTGAATGACCGAATGGTTGGCATGTGCGCGCTGTATCATAAGGTCTGTCATTGAGTCAACTGACATGGTTTTGATTCCCCGATTGTACATGACAAGGAGTAAAGTTGCCTGTCCAAACTCGTGGGTTGTCTCCAGGTCCTCCGATTTCCTCTCACTCCTAAAGACCCCTACACGTAAGCGAAATACTGAAATAAAATTGAACCATGTGTTAGTCCCAAAATAACCTAGTTTGTGTCGAGTGGACATTATAACCCATCTCTCTCACTCTCTCTTGTTCCTAGCCAGGTTGTCTCTCCTGAACTATCTAAAGCACGATCTCAAACCCAAATTTAATGGACCCGGGTTTAACGTCCAACTGTTCTGCTCCAACTGGGCTAAGGTCCAACTGCCGACTGGGCTAATGAAGATGGGCATACACCATACAGTGTGCTATGCTGGAAATTTTGCTCGGACAGCGGTGCTATGGCTTACTCTTATATCGAATTCAAACTGTCAAGTTTTCTTTTATGTGCACGCAACTATACGTTGTCCCTTGCCAGGCCCTTTGCTCTGCATCACTGTCAAGGGGAACCACACCAGAAAACCCTGATGAATTGTCTTGGCCAACGGAGGGATCGAACATGGAACCTACAGGTTAGCAAGCCAGCATCTTAGTCACTTGGTGAACCTAAACCTTACTCACTGAGCCTATGGTTTCTGTAGATTTAGACTCTGAAGAGGCACTGGCTCTTTGCTTGTCTTTGTCTTCTTGTTAAAAATAATAAAATGAAATGGGGTTTAACGCCCTACTGTTCTGCTCCAATTTGACTAATGAAGAAAATTTTTGCCCAGGCAGCAGCATACTCTTATTTTGAATTCCAACTTTCAAGGATTCTTTTACATGCACACCAATGTGTACACGGGACTTCAGTTTTTCATACCATCCGATCGACTGTTGTCCCTTGCCAGGCCCTCCTACTCTCCGCACCACTGTCTATGGTGATTTTTCAAAATTTCCAGCCCTAAACAACCTCAGTATGTTGACCCAGCGATCCACTTATTTTGATCAATTTCAATGAAATTGATCTTCAATTATTTTTATCAATTTTTTATTTATAAAAATCAAGCTGAAGCTATTAACCTCTACAAGTTCCCAGCCAGTCTGTATTTGAACCCTCTAAATCACTGGCATCTGTTATTACTCGTCCTTGTAGAAGTTTACTGAAGTAGTCCACATCTTGTCCGGTCAGGTCAGAATAGGGACCCTTCTTCAAACCAGGGTATCTGTTCCTTGTCAATTCTATTTGTTTGGTTTTATTAGCAAAAACCGACACCGACGTGCAGACGCTTCTGTTATGGTTGATAAATCGAGTGGCACTTCCAACGCTCCACCGTTCCAAATGCCGACACAGTTGTGTTGTAAACATCTTTGATACAGTCAATTAATGCAAAAATATTGAACATAACCGGTACATTTGTCCTACATTATATCGAAGGGTAACACGAGAGCATGTTGACATAGATCCCTCATATCGGACAAGTTGCATTAGTTTTCAAGGTTTAGCAGTGTAAGGGAGACAACTCTCTTTAACGCGGTTTAATTGGAGTACTCTCCCCTTGATTGTAAATCGTGACTTTCAGAACCTTATTACCCTACAGTACTGACATGCCGTTCATACAATTTCAATGCCCCGTGCTACGACAAAGGCGTATTCCATGTCCTAAAATAACGTGCCTTAGAACGTGCTTCGAAATGAAAAATCCGTGCTTCAAAAATAAGAAAACCGTGCTCTGCAAAAAATGGTGTAGTGCTCTGAAAAATTGTAAGGTAGCGATGACTCTTACTGACGCCTATTGGATTCACTCGCTAAAGAGACTTTAAAAGATAATAATCAGATTTTTTATTTTATTTTGTACCCTTGTTTGAGTTTTGATGTTGATGTAATGAAAGAATTTGAATTACAATCCAAATAGTATTGTAACAAAAGGGGTGTGTTATTTTCCTAGTGCTGAGTTGTCATGCGAAAAAAAGCTGTAGGCCTAAACTGCACCAGAATAGTCCACAAATGGCGTTTTCAGCTCTGAATTTTCAAAACTATCTTTTGCGGGGCAGAACCGCCGGCGCTCGCAGGCGGTCTGACACAGGATCCGTGCTACGAGAATTTAACCTTATTTTAGGCCCTGGCGTATTGGCCTAATTTTCAGCGAATCCCACCCGTCAAACGCCAACGAGCACCTCCCACCCCAACTTACTGGCTCAAGGGTTCGATTTACCCCCTTTTTTATTGTATATTGAAGATTGGGTTATTGAGTTGTCACAATACAACAACTCAATTAAAACTCCAGACTGTATTGACCGATAAGATTTTATTTTATTATAAATAAACTGTGGTGCCATAGACAGGTAAAGTAGAGGAGGGTGGTGTCGGGGGCAAAGATGTCAATAGAATATTGGCCGGGTAACTAGTGGCAAACGGTATTTGCTCCGCTAAGCAGACGTTTCATCAATAAATTCCATACGGAATTTTTTAAAAACCAGGGCCCTGTTTCTCGAAATCTTAACTAAAGATAAAATCCAAATTTTAGTATATACTTCAATTTTGATTGGCTAATCACTAAAATGAATCTAATATTATCCAATCAAATTACTAAAATTTTGTGAAACAGATCTCAGTATTAGAAAAAGTTAAATCCTACCCCAAAAAAGAAAAACAGACCCACACAAATAGTGGATTCGGTACCTCGAAACAAAAATTATTCTGACGTTTCTCGTCTAACTTTGTTCTCAATATCAAAGGTTTTTTTTCCTGTTCACAAATCTGGAACCCATCCGCTGTAAATGATAGTGTTTAATTAACACTCCTCTGGAAATTACCATAAATTTGCTCGACGATTATTTTACTTCAAACATACATTATGCAAGAGCTAAATCTGCCTACCGCAGGTCTTTCTTTAGGGCTGAAATGTCATCTAAATTATTAACTATACATAAATTAACTTATACAGACCATATTCCATGTTCGATGTCATCGCTAGTCTGCGATATTTACTGGACTTGAAACCGGTCTGCTGCTCAGCCATCATTGATGATTAAATCCAAAAGTGTATAATCGAGACTATATTTTTATCGTATCGACTTAATTAATGATGGCTAGGCCTAAAATTCAAAAGTTAATATCTCGGTTCAGAGTGGATCAATTTGACTGAAATCTTCATCAAATTCCCTTTACATTATCTAGTTTTTAACTATTATAGTCAGAACTGTCAGCCCTTTAACTAATCTCCAATAATGCCCCTTTAGTACAGTGGGTTATCATATAAAAATGAAATGAAATGGGGTTTGCCATCCTACTGTTTTGCAACGACTCGACTAATGAAGACGGGCATACGCCATACAGTTTGCTATGAGCGAAATTTGGCCCGGATAGAGGCACTACGACCTACTCTTATTTTGAAAGACTATACGACCTAGGCTACTTTTATTTCAAATGCCAACTGTCAATGGATCTTTTACGTACATGCCAATGTGTACAAGGAATTTCGTCCCATCCCAACGACTAGACACTGTCCTTGTCAAACCATCCGTTCTGCACCACTGACAAGAATCCCCTGGTTACCGAGCCAGGGTTCGCCCTTCCCACGTTATCATATAAAATAAAGGTACTTATGTTGTGTAACAAACGCGGTAACATTATCATCTATAAACTATTAAAACTGTAAGTAAATCTAGAGATGACAATCCCGTGTGACGAACAGGTCTCACGATTTGATATTAAACCGTTTGTATCGATATACCAGCAATGTTTGTCAACACTTTTATATAAAAGTAGCAAATTAATGTCAGCAGTCGGTAGTGTTTAGTTAATCTGTAAAGGTGTAGAGGTCGCTGTATCTTGGCTTCTCATTTTTCCCAGCCGACATGTTACATCTGCGCTTTCTCCCCGCAATTCAATAGTCGAGAAGATAAATATTGGTTTAATTTGAAACTTTGTTTCGCAACACCAGCAGCGTTGCCACAAAAACAACTTACCGAAAGAGTTAAGACGTTTAGTTGGTTTGGAAACACGTTAGCTCGCCATCTTACTAAATTAACCCGTGAGCGGATACAAGGGGTATTTTGGGACCCCACGGCCATATCCTTAATATTTGTAGGGATTTGGATCATTGTCTACCGAGATTTTTTTATATTGTCAGCTACTTAACGTTGGGTATAACGCTGCAAATAGAACGGAAGCGAGAGAGTGGCAGCATTCACCATTTGACAAGAAACTAAAAGTATTACATTATCGGAAACAAGGGGTTTTGTGCCCCCCCCCTCCTCCTTTAAACATTTTGCTGGTTACAAGTGCCTAATCTGTTCTGCGCTTGGTGCAAGCTTTGTATTTAGAATCTTTCTTACTGATGATATTGTGTTGATCATTCTAGTAATCTAGATGTGAAAATAAATCTAGGTACTCTACCAACTCTGTCAAAAGACGATTTTAACGTCCACTCGACACAAAATAGGCCATTTCGGGACTAACATAGGGTTCAGTATTATTTCAACAATTCGCTTGCGCGTAGGGGTCTTTAGTAGTGGGAGGAAACAGGAGGACCCGGAGAAAACCTACGAGGTTGGACAGGCGATCCTACTCCTTGTCACATACAACCGGGGAATCAAAACTCGGCTAGTTGCCTTATTGTGTTTTTTTTCATACTAAATTTACGCACTACCGCTTGAGAATTATGGAAGGATAACGTTGCCAATATTATTTCAATGTTCACGGTACAAACTGCATATGTCAGTAGTTCAATTTTAGTTTTACAATTTGCCATTTCCATTGCTCCACAATACCAACGTCACGGTGTTAAAATACATGTAGAATACACTTTTCAATAATACTAAATACAGTATAATAATTATTATTTTGCACATTACACATCTCCATGCTGCGTTTTGCACAATAGACAAACTTGGCATATTAGAACATATACCTTATATGGGATTTACGACGAAGTTATTTTTAGTCTTTTGCATGTAGGGAGATGCCCGATGCCAACTCTTTGATGACCCCCCCCCCCCACACACACACATATATACCCACCCAAGATTCAAGTATAGGGCATATTCTTTGAATGTCATTTAGTAATTGAAACATAATCAAATAAAACGCTTTTATGGAATAACAATTTGTGTATATGCTTGATGACGACTTGTGAAATCTTGTTGAAACGTCGCAGTGAAATAAACCATAGTAATTGTTATTCCATAAAAGTGTGTTCTCCATTCTGCATTTTGCATTATAGACAAATGCATTATAGAACTTAGCCTATTAGAACATATACCTTATATGGGATTTACTACGAAGCTCATTTGCATGAAGGGCGAAAGTTATTTTTAGTCTTTTGCATGGCGATTTTTGTTGAAATCGAAGAAAAGGGTTTGAAAATATATTTTTGTGCCAGGTTTTGGTGAATATTCATGATTTTGAGGGGGAAGGATACAAGAGTTGAGAGGTAGGTCAGGTTGAAATGTGGGGCGGAAAGTTGCATGTTTAATGATCTTTACTTCCAGTTTGTGTATCTCAAGTTTTCCATGTGAACCTCATACGCGTGTAGTAGGATGTTATATTCTCTTTAAATATTTTAGCCAGTTTCCATTGTCCTGGGGGATAACGTGGCTAAGTGGGTAAGACGCTGGCTCGCTAGCTTGGAGGTCGGGTGTTCTATCCCTGCATTGGCCGAAAAGGTTCATTCAGATTTTCCGGCGTGGTTTCCCCTTGTCAGTGATGCAGGATGGAGGACCTGACAAGGACAGCTGTCTAGTCGTTCGGATGGGACGAAAAACCGAGGTCCCTTGTACACATTGGCGTGCACGTAAAAGATCCCCTGGCAGTTGGAATTCGATATACGAGTAGGCGATAGTGCCGCTGCCTGGGCAAAATTTCCCTCATAGCACACTGTATGGCGTATGCCCGTCTTCATTAGCCCAGGTTAGGAGCAGAACAGTAGGACGTTAAACCCCATTTCATTTCATTTCATTTCCATTGTCCTATATATCCAGCTAGTCTTTTATTTCCAGTGCTTATAATTACTTTAGTTTATAGTTTAAAGATGATATTTTAAGATAGTGAGTAGATTTCAGTATCTCGGAAATCCGCTTTGTTGACCCTGGTTACTAACTTCACTCATACTCAGTTACAGCACAATTAATCATTTATTTCAAGGTAGGTTTAATATTTGTTCGACTGGACTAGACATTTAAACTATATAAATAATTCTAAACTAGTAAATTAATTATTAGCAAGTTAATATATATAGAAACTAGACAACTTTATATTACATAATTAAATAATGATTAAATATAGTATCCAGTGTGTAATGTTTTGTTAATTGTGATGTCTCATTGTTTTAAAGTGTTCCTAATTGTGTTGTCCACAAAGTTTATACATCTATGGTCGTATTTATTTACCTGGAAAGCACCTGTCTTAAGGTATGTTTGATTGTATTTATATCTTTGTGTTATAACTGATAAAATGTAAATAGATAATCTTTATTTTAATATATAATATAGTAATTATATTATAACTTGATTTTTGATCTATTAGTGATTAGTAGAATATATTCATATTTTAATAATTTTATATGATATGTTCTTTTCACTTATTGCAAATAATCGTTTTGTATCTTTTCATTGGTTTTTTTTTCTGTATTGAGTATATATTTTGTCCTGAAATAAACTCGTGTTGTCAATTCGCCTAAACTGTTTCTGTGCAACCCCGGCCTGGGGTAGACCATGTGCCCCACCTGCTACACGTGCTTAGAGCAAGGGGTTGTCACATGTTGCTCCATCTGTGGTAAACGTTCTACCTAACGAAAATTTGGGAAAAGTTAGAGCCGAGAAATCATTGGTGGTCTGTAGCCACCTACGTTTTCCACACGTTTCAAGGGAGATAACTACTGATTTCTGGAATAGTCCAGCTTTCTATTGTATGTGAAACGTTGTACAGTAAACTACTTACCTTGTATATACGTTTTCAAGGGGAGGTAACTATTGCCAAAGGACAACAAGATAACAAAAGAATGAAAATTCATTTAATTAGATATTCACTTTCTTAGATAATTTAAAAAAAAATATATATTTTTAACATTTCATAATTTGAAATTAATATCTTTGTTCACGGCGTCGTTTGAAGTGGAATATTACATTATAAAATAAAATTGATTTGATGTAAATATTCCTGTATAAATTATTTACTTCAATCATATATAAAACTTAACTTTTTTCAAATGTATCAGGTTGTGATTATGTTTCGTTAGCTTTGCGCAGTGGCGGTACCATAGCCAATGAGGAATTTCCGAGGCGTGGTTATTGCTAGTTGAAAACTATACCCAATACCCCGCGCTGACGACCTACGGGATCTGTCAAGCGCAATTTTTGCCGGCTTCTACGGGAGCTAATTAAAGAATTCAAAAGAGAATATTATCCTGTATACTGGAAATGAGCTCGGGGGGGCCCAATCACTGTTTAAGAGAAATATCTTTCATTCAGAAACACAAAACTTTGCACATAGGTTTCTTATTGATGTATTTGGAACATTAAAACAACAAAAGTTTTATAAAGGGCTATATTTTAGTTCAAATAAGGCTAATAATTTTGAGTAAATTCTTAAGTCTGAGAATGCTTTGTGAGCTCGGACCCTGATAGATTTTCTTTGGATTATATTTAATTCAAAGCTTCAGTAAAATTCATGAAAGCGCGCATTTTAAAAATTGAAACTGGGCAATCTAGCCTTACGTTTTCAAACGAAATAATATTTCGTCGAATCCAGTGACGTTCAGAGAGGTAGGGAGATGCCCGATGCCAACTCTTTGATGCCCCCCCCCCCCCACTAAACACAAACACACGCATCCCCACCCAAGATTCAAGTATAGGGCATATTCTTTGAATGTCATTTAGTAATTTAAACATAATCAAATAAAACGCTTTTATGGAATAACAATTTGTGCATATGCTTGATGACGACTTGTGAAATCTTGTTGAAATGTCGCAGTGAAATAAACCATAGTAATTGTTATTCCATAAAAATGTGTTCGCCATTCTGCATTTTGCATTATAGACAAATGCATTATAGAACTTAGCATATTTGAACATATACCTTAATGGGATTTACTACGAAGTTATTTTTAGTCTTTTGCATTTTGGTGTGGAATCGAAGAAAAGGGTTTGAAAATATATTTTTTGACAGGTTTTGGTGAATATTCATGATTTTGAGGCGGAAGGATACAAGAGTTGAGAGGTAGGTCAGGTCGAAATGTGGGGTGGAAAATTGCATGTTTAATGATCTTTACTTCCAGTTTGTGTATCTCAAGTTTTCCATTTGAACCTCATACGCGTGTAGTAGGATGTTATATTCTCTTTAAATATTTTGACCAGTTTCATTGTCCTGTGTATCCAGTTAGTCTTTTATTTCCAGTGCTTATAATTACTTTAGTTTATAGTTTAAAGATGCTATTTTAGCATAGTGAGTAGATTTCAGTATCTCGGAAATCCACTTTGTTGACCCTGGTTACTAACTTAACCCATACCCAGTTACAGCACAATTAATAATTTATTTCAAGGTAGGTTTAATATTTGTTTGACTGGACTAGACATTTAAACTATATAAATAATTCTAAACTAGTAAATTAATTATTAGCAAGTTAATATATATAGAAACTAGACAACTTTATATTACATAATTAAATAATGTTTAAATATAGTATCCAGTGTGTAAGTTCTTGTTAATTTTGATGTCTAATTGTTTTATAGTGTTCCTAATTGTGTTGTCCATAAAGTTCATCACTCTATGGTCGTATTTATTTACCTGGAAAGCACCTGTCTTAAGGTATGTTTGATTGTTTTTATATCTTTGTGTTATAACTGATAAAATGTAAATAGATAATCTTTATTTTAATATATAATATAGTACTTATATTATAACTTGATTTTTAAACTATTAGTGACTAGCAGAATATATCCATCATTTAATATATAATATAGTACTTATATTATAACTTGATTTCTGATCTATTAGTGAATAGTAGAATATATCCATCATTTAATGATTTAGTATGACATGTTCTGTTCACTTATTGAAAATAATCGTGTTGTATCTTTTCAGTGTTTTTTTTTCTGTATTGGGTATATATTTTGTCCTGAAATAAACTGTTGTGTTGCCAATTTCTGTGCAACCCGGGCCTGGGGTAGATCATGCGCCCCACCTGCTACACGTGCTTTAGAGCAAGGGGTTGCCACATGTTGTTCCATCTGTGGTAAACGTTCTACCTAACGAAAATTTGGGAAAAAGTTAGAGCCGGTGAAATCATTAGTGGTCTGTAGCCATCTACGTTTTTCATGCGTTTCAAGGGAGATAACTACTGATTTCTCGAACAGCCCAGCGTTGCGTTCTATTGTATGTGAAACGTCGTACAGTAATCTACTTACCTTTTACATACGTTTTCAAGGGGAGGTAACTATTGCCAAAGGACAACAAGAACACAAAAGAAAGACGATTCAGTTAATTAAATGTTCACTTTCTTAGATAATGTAAAATAATATTTTTATTATTAACATTTCATAATTTGAAAATAATATCTTTGTTCACGACATCGTTTGATGTTGAATATTAAAATATAAAATAAAATTGATTTGATGTAAATATTTCCTGTATAAATTGTTAACTTGAATCATATTTATAAGTAAACTTGTTTCAAGTGAGTCCGATTTCTTTCCAATCTCGTTAGCTTTGCGCAGTGGCGGTACCATAGCCAATGAGGAATTTCCGAGGCGTGGTTATTGCTAGTTGAAAACTATACCCAATACCCCGCGCTGACGACCTACGGGATCTGTCAAGCGCAATTTTTGCCGGCTTCTACGGGAGCTAATTACAAAATTTTGAAAGAGAGAAAATTACCTTGTTTTCCAGATTTCCCTTGGATTATGTTTAATTCGACCCTTCATTAAAACTCGTCTTTTTAAGCTTATTATAATATTTCGTCGAATCCAGTGACGTCAGAGTGGTTCGGTGATGTCTGATGCCAATTCTTTGATGCTCCACCCCAAAGATTCAAGTATTGGCCATATTACTAAGAAATGAAATGAAATGAAATGGAGATTAACGTTCTACTGTTCTGCTCCTAACCTGGGCTAATGAAGACGGGCATACGCCATACAGTGTGCTATGAGGGAATTTTTGCCCGGGCAGCGGCACTACATATTACTAAGAAATAAGAACGTGAGACATTTTAAACCAGATGACATAAATTTTAAATTCAAATTGAGTAGGTCAGTTTGTACAACGATTTTAACAGGGATAATTTCACATTTAAAAAAACTTAAGTTTAATTTCAAACTATCAGTCTTTGTTTAAATGCTCTCCTGAAAAGATTGCATCGGCCATCGCACACCCTATGTATCCTACTGGTCAAATGAAAAGTCGTTCGATTCACACCGAATTTCACATGATTAACCCCGTCTTTATTAGCCCAGTCTTCGATCCCTGCATTGGCCGAGAAAGTTCATCGTGATTTTCCGACGTGGTTTCCCCTTGTCAGTGGTGCAGAACGGAGGGCCTGACAAGGACAGCTATCTAGTCCTTCGGATGAGACGTAAAACCGAGGTCCCGTGTATACATTGGAATGCACGTAAAAGATCCCTTGGCAGTTGGAATTCGATATTAGAGTAGGCGATAGTGCCGCTGCCCGGGCAAAATTTCCAACATATTATAGCAGACTGTATGGCGCATGCCCGTCTTCATTAGCCCAGTATAGGAGCAGAACAGTAGGACGTTAAACCCCATTTCATTTCATTTCATTAGCCCAGTCGGAGCAGAAAAACAGGACGTTAAACCCCATTTTATTTCATGTCATACGATTAGTGTCACTTGTTATTTAGAACAATGTCGAGCGCTTTACTTCTTCTTCACATAACGTTTTACGTCCGCTTGCACCTATGATGATATCGCGAGCACTCAAGCGTTCTATTAGATATCTACTTACGTTTTACATACGTTATCAGGGGGAGATAACTACTACTAAAATCAAAAGAAAAAAAGGAGAATCAGTCAATGACAAAATTCATAAAAAATAATTCATAATTATATACATCATAATTTGAAAAATAACATCTTTATTCTATGTTGAATATTAGATTTTAAAATAAATTTGATTTGATGTAAATATGCTTGTATAAATTATTAACTTCAATCATATTTATAAAAAGACTTGTTTTAAATGTATTCAATTTCTGACACACCTCTTTAGCTTTGCGCAGTGGCGGTACCATAGCCAATGAGGAATTTCCGAGGCGTGGTTATTGCTAGTTGAAAACTATACCCAATACCCCGCGCTGACGACCTATTGGTCGGCATGCGCAATTTTTGCCGGCTTCTACGGGAGCTAATTAAATAAATGAAAAGAGTAACAATATTTCATCTAATTACCCTGTTTGTATTCTCCTTTTTTCAATCTTTGATGAAACTCGACATATGGGAGAATACCTAAAATCATTGGCGTACCGAGAGGTTTGGTGTGATGTCTGATGCCAACTCCTTGATGGGCTGTCATCAGGATTCAAGTTTTAGGAATATTATTGAGAAAGGGGAGTCATTTTAAAACATTTCAACACCCTTTGCTTAGATGCCCGTTCTAAACCCTACTAATCGTGTGAACTACCGTTCGATTCACTATGAATTTCATACGGTTGGTGTCTATTGCGTTCTACTTCTTCTTGTGGGGTTTTACGGTCGTTTCCATTTAGAATGCGACAAGGGACAACGTAAACGATCCCTTGGCAGTTGGAATTCGATATAAAAGTAGGCCGTAGTGGAGCTGACCGGGTAAAATTTCCCTCATAGCACACTATGACATACGCCCATCTTCATTAGCCCAGCCAGAGCAGAACAGTAGGACGTTAAACCCCAACCCCATTTCCTTTCATTTCATTTCTATAGTATGTAAGTGTTTTTTTTTTTTTTTAACATACACAGATATCTACCTACTTTTTACATATGTTCAGAGGGAGGGTGTGTGTGTGTGTGGGGGGGGGGGTAGCGCATGTGCGTTAGATCACGATGTCTGACATTGAGTCGCGTGACATGGTTTCGATTCCGCGGTTAGGAGAGGAGGGTCGCGTGTCCAACCCTCGTGGGTTTTCTCCGGGTCCAACCACTGCCAAAGATCCTTACACGCAAGCGATTTAGTGAAATACAATTGAGCCTTATGTAATTATATATGTTAGTCCCGGAATGGCTTAGTTTTGTCGAGTGGACGTTAAACCCCATTTCTCTCTCTCCCTCTCTCTCTCTCTCTCTCTCTCTCCATATACAATAATTTAAAATTTCGCTACAATCCCTATGATTTCGAATTGTTCAGCAGCATATCGACTTTGATCTCCACTTGCGGCAGTCTATTAAAATACATATAGATTATGATCTTGCGAATCAACTGTCACATCAAGCATAGTCTCGAACAATCGGACTATATATACTATACCATCAGCTCAGGGGGTGTATGCCAATGACATTATTGATGGTTAGGTCTATTTGATAAGGCTAACTTCAAGTTTGGTCACAGGTCACGTGATGTAAACAGGGCTAGCGCGTATCTAAACCCTAACCCTAGACCTAGTTCTAAAGCTTACCCTAACCCTAACCTACAATCTCGCCAACAATCACGTGCCCTAACCTTATTTAGATCTCGGCGAGCTTGACGAAAATTGAGTTGGCCTTAACAAATAGATCTAGCCCATTATTGAGTGTTCAACTGTTTGCGATTGTCATGTACTAATATCTACGTTTTACATACGTTTTCAAGGGAAGTAACCACTGCAAATAAATAAAAAAGCCCGAATACTCACTTTATTAAATTTTACACTTTCAAATGAAAAATCTAATAGAGATAATATTTGTTTCATTTCATAATTTGAAAATAATATCGTTGTTCACGAGGTCGTTTGATGTGGAATATTACATTATAAAATAAAATTGATTTGATGTAAATATTCCTGTATAAATTATTAACTTGAATCATATTTATAAGTAAACTTGTTTCAAATGTATCAGGTTGTGATCATGTCTCGTTAGCTTTGCGCAGTGGCGGTACCATAGCCAATGAGGAATTTCCGAGGCGTGGTTATTGCTAGTTGAAAACTATACCCAATACCCCGCGCTGACGACCTACGGGACCCGTCAAGCGCAATTTTTGCCGGCTTCTACGGGAGCTAATTAAAGAATTGAAAATAGTAAATTATCCTAAAAGTGTTCATTCACTCCGGGGTTTGATACTTGTTCACAAGAATATAAATTCTGGGATAACCTACAAGAATATCCAGTTCAGTAGTGGAATTAACGCAATTGCACGTGTGAAGAGATCTCCGGCAAACCTTTATGCATTTATTCTTTTTTTGAATGAGTCATCGTAGATAGAAATGGATAGAAACCACTTTCCAGATTGTTATTGGGAGTGGGGGCGGGTGGATGGCCGAATGGTTAGGGTGTGTGCGTTGTATCATACGGTCTGTCATTGAGTCAACTGGCGTGGTTTCGATTCAACGGTTGTACATGACAAGAAGTAGGGTTGCCTGTCCAACCTACTGGGATTTCTCCGTGTCCTCCGCCCCCCCCCATCCACTGCTATATAAAGACTTCTACGAGTAAGGGAATTATTGAAATAAAATTAAACCATATGTTAGTCCCAAAATTACCTAGTTTGTGTCGAGTGGACTTTAATCCCTATCTTTCTCTCACACATACATAGACTAAATAAACTTTTTCAATTTTATTGAATGGAAGCAGAATACATTGTGAACAAATTAATGCTTGAAGTATGCTTAGTGTTTTCGACTAAAATCGTCGATTTAAGACTTAAAATGTCGGTCAACTAGCTTAGTGTCTGTTCACAAGCAGAGCTAACTGTAGACAGACAGCCTAAGTTTAGTATGCAACAATTGGGCTTAATAAAGAGGGGTATACGTCATACAGTGTACCACGTAGAAAATTTTGCCCGGGCAGCGGCACTATGGCCTACTCTTATATCAAATTCCGACTGCCAAGGGGTCTTTTACTTGCACACCAATGTGTCAACACGACCCCGGTTATTCGTCCAATCGGAACGATTAGACACTGACCCTGTCTGAACCTCTGTCCTGCAACACTGACAAGGGGAAACGCACAGGAAAATCCCGAAGAACTTTCTCGGTCAACACAAGGAGCGAACCTAAGAAATCCCGTTTAACGAGCCAGCGTCCTACTCACTTAGCCACCACGAATAACGATTATTGTTATAATACCCCCCCCCCCCCATAAATGAAATGAAATGGGGTTTAACATCCTACTGTTCTGCTCGAACTGGTCTAATGAAGACGACGGGGCCATACATTGTGCTATGAGGGACATTTTGCCAGGGAGCGAACCTAAGAAAACCCGTTTAGCGAGCCAGCGCCCTACTCACTTAGCCACAGCGACTAACGGTTATTGTTACACTAAAAGTCCTCCATCATAAGTACATAGTAATTCATGTCGACACTCTACAATATATAATTATAGACCTACATCACAAGTTAGACGTCAAGTTTCTTAAACTTTATCAAAACAAAGATTTATAAAACTAATTGTATATCTTTAAAGAACGAACATATAGTTAATATTCACAGCGGGATTCGAACTCACTCTTGACTAAACTCTAAATCTGTGACTAAAACCTCTTTGTTCAGGAGATTTTTACATGTGGTGTTTTAGACAAACTAGTAATTAGTCATTCACTCTTTATAACACTTATCTTGTTAGAAAAGATACATCACCATGGTGAGGACAACGGTCCTCGAGGTATTTAGAACCAGAACCGCCCATCTTTTATTATGGTATGAACCCTGGTTTGTGAGGTACGTAACGGGTCGTGGGTAACAGCTGGGATGCGAGGACCCGAAGTGTTCTGCTCACAGCGGTTTGCTAATATTGTTCACACTCGTAGATAATTATCGTGAATTTTATTTTCTGTGTTTAATCACCTTGACAGGGCCGTTGTTCGTCGGAAATCAACGTTTGGTCAGTTCCATCATTGTTCAGATTATCTCTCGAGGCGTTCTCTTGAAATAAAATCTGAATCAAAGCCTACATGTAGCGATGGGAAATGAAATGAAATGGGGTTTAACGTCCTACTGTTTTGCACCGAACTGGGTTAATGAAGACGGGCATACGCCATACAGTGTGAAATGAGGGAAATCTTGCCCGGACAGCGGCACTACGGCCTACTCTAAGTTATATCGAATTCCAACTGTCAAGGGATCTTTAACGTGCATGCCAATGTGTACACGGGACCTCGGTTTTTCGTCCCATCCGAACAACTAGACAGCTGCACTTGCCAATCCCTCCGCCCTGTATCACTGACTAGGGGGAAATCACGCCGGAAAATCTGGATGATCTTTCTCGGGCAATGCAGGGATCGAACACCCGACCTTCAGGCTAGTGAGCCAGCGTCTTACCCGCTTAGCCACTATGATCCCCATGTGTTGATGTTATATATAATGAAATATATAGTGTTTAACGTCCTATCCGTCTGCATCAACCGGGTGAATAAAGAAATGCTTACACCAGGCACGGTTTCAGAATTACTAAAGATTTAAATTGATTAGATTTTCGATTTTCTAATTAGGCCAATTCCCTGTCTGAAATATCACTCTAGTTCTTCGGATGTAACGAAAAATCGAGGTGTTTGCATGCACGTAAAAGAACCCCTGGTACATATCGTATGAGCGTGGTTCTCCCCCTTGGTGTCAGTGGTATAGGACGGGGGGGGGGGGGCTGGAGCCGGGAAGGGCCAACGTATAGTCGTTCGGATGGAACGAAAAACCGACGTCTCGTGCTTACACGTTAAAGATCCCTTGGCAGTTGGAATTCAGTATAAGAGTAGGCCGTAGCGCCGCTGTCCGGGCAAAATTTCCCTCATAGCACACTGAATGGCGTATGCCCGTCTTCATTAGCCCAGTCGGTGCAGAAAAGTAGGACTTTAAACCACACTTCATTTTCATCTTGCAGGATATATGAAGATGGATTCTGGCGATGTATAACAACACTTCAAGCCGCCAGCTCTTAGTATGGATAAAAACAACGTTTTACAAAGTAAGGCCTATTTCCAAGAGGGAAATGGAAAGTAAACACATTAAGTACGAACAGTGGAACATTTCAAAAAGACTCTCTTTGACTGGAAGCGATTGAAATGCGAGCTGCCTTATTTACTAACTGAAAAAGGAGATTTAATGTCGCTATATTTACACACGAACCCAACATCAAAGAAAACGAAAGGAAAAAAAACATGAAAGAGAACTAACAATGGGCCATTTTAAGCCACTGACCACAATTTCAAGATTTTCTTTCATTTATATTTTCTGTGTAAATATAACATGGTTTGTACCTTAAAACGTATGTCCAGTTGTTTGTTGTTGAGTGTGACCGGCATGGCGACACGTTAAGGTGGTCTTGTAATACCAATATTAGGTTTCAATCCCCGCTATGCAATAAGTAACTCTATATGAACCTTTTATACAAAGGAATCCACGAAGAACTAAAATAAAACCCCACAAGATTTGTTTACGATGACTCCAATTTTTTTTATAATTAAATACCTTCAAGGTTAAATAAAATTACATGAATTGAAAATGCGTTCAAAAGACTCAAATTATCAATGGTATCAATGGTCAAAAAACTCAAATTATCAATGGTCAAAAAACTCAAATTATCAATGGTCAAAAAACTCAAATTATCAATGGGTATATCGACGGACTTGTTTTCTTATCTTCCTCCAAAAATGAGAGAGAGAGAGAGAGAGAGAGAGAGAGAGAGAAATGGGGTTTAACGTCCACTCGACACAAACTAGGTCATTTCGGGACTAACATATGGTTTTATTCTATTTCAATAATTCGCTTGCGCGTAGGGGTCTTTAGCAGTGGGAGGAAACCGGAGGACCCGGAGAAAACCCTCAAGGTTGGACAGGCGACCCTACTCCTTGTCACGTACAACCGGGGATTCGAAACCACGCCAGTTGACTCAATGACAGGCCGTATGATACAGCACGCACGTGCTAACCTTTCGGCCATCCAACCCCCATAAATCTATAAAGGACTTTATGTTGAATTGAACATCATTATTTTATGAATATTTCATTTTCGTTTTAATTGGTTTGACAATCATAACTGCTAAATATAAAAAAAACTAAATGAAAAACTACCAGGAAATGTAAGACCACGAGCCCCAAAACGTTAAATTGAAGACTTCTTACATCCATACTTCGCGTCTTTTCATTTTGTCTAAAAATTTAGGTGTAGAGGTTGAACACAAATACGAGAAATGGGGTTTAACGTCCTACTTTCCTACACCAACAGAGCTAATGTAGATGGTCATACACGCCATGCAATGTGTTATGAAGGAAAGTTTACCTGTCCAGCGGTGCTACAGTCTACTCTTATTTCGAACACAAGCTGCCAGGAGTTCTTTTCCGTGCACATCAATGTGTACACGGACCTCGGTCATTAGTTTAATATTTGATCCACTTCTAATTGGTTTGTTACCCTAACAAAAATGATTATTTTTTCCTCCAGATGGAAACGAATGACTCTTTATAAAATTTTAAAGCCAAAAGTGTCGATGTTTTAAACGGACTTGTAACCTGACCAAATAAAAATAACGCCAAGGTTTTGGACAAAACTTATTCTTTTCGTGCCAGCGTTCGCGTGGCTACAGCTCTAAAGAAAAGTGGTTATAATTTTGACATTTCATTCATAGCGGCGACCCTTGAGTACAAGTCGTACACGTGTTGAAGCGTGTAAGATTTTCTACTTATATATATAAAAGATTTGCCACGTAAGGAATAGGTGTTCGGCTTGTCAATGGACACAAGACTAAAAACCGCTTTCTCTGTGATTTCAAATATGATGATAGTTGATTTTTAAATACCATTTTTGTTAGATATCCAACTTATTTAACATCTTATAAAATATAGTCTTGCTCAGCTTTATTGTTAAACATGTATATGTCATTTGAGGTTAAAGAACTGTACCTAGACCTGTATCCAGTACCATAGTAGTACCTTATCCAGTACCGTACCCAGAGCTATACCCAGAACCATACCCAGGTATCCAATACCGTATCCTGAGCTGTGCCCAGAACCATACCCAGGTATACAATACCGTACCCTGAGCTGTGCCCAGAATCATACCCAGATATATAGTACCGTACCCAGAACCGTACCCAGTACCATAACCAGTACTTACGCAGTACTGTACCAAGAGCTGTATCCATTACCTTACCCAAAGCTGTATCCAGAGCTGTAGCCAGAGCTGTACCCAATACCATACTCAGTACCTTATATTACCCAGTACCATACCAAGAACTGTACCCAGTACCGTACCCAGAGCTGCACCCAATACCGTACCCAGTACAATACCCAGTACCTTACCCAGTAGGTAGGGCATTGCCACTGTGTCCTAGTACCGTATCCAGCACAATAGCCAGAACCGGATCCAGTACCGGAGAACATGTTAATGGTAAATAAGTTAAGCCATTTAATTATACGATTACATTTCACAAACAAAAATTGTTTTTCTGTAGGTATTACCCTCGTGTCCCAGAACCAGTACCCATTACCGGTCAATACATTAATAGTAAGTAAGGCAAGCTTATAATTCCATAATTATATACTAGTATATTTTATAGTCTGTAATCTGATGGATATTACTGGACCGGATTACAGGAAACAATAAAAGCCAGGAGTTTATGTAGGTATATATTTCTACAATAAAGGATATAAGTCTAATAAACACCTGCGAATCGTAACAATACTAAAACCACCCTCTCTTCTACTTGTAATTGAGTCTGTGGTCATTCTCGATCAAACATGTTTCACATTCCGCTAACTGGACAATAACTGGTATCATATAAGAAGAATGATACGCTAAACGTCGCTCAGCACTAATGAAGATGATAGTTCAACGACTTGGTTATCAATACCAATGTAATTAAAGGGATGAACCCACCAATTAAATGGTAATAACAATGAATACGGTGTATTATCGGTTTTAGACAAATCATCACCCAGATAAATGGGTCACCTTCAAACGTTTGTTTCAATTATGGGTGGGTCCAGACGACAGTTTATTACTTATCACGTGATTAAGTGATTATATTTATGGCCAATTAATGTGAAATCGGATAGAAATTAGGTTCTGCTACTCGATTTAGTAGTCACCTGGTCTTTACCCCTATTTATTACACGGGGGTTGGGGGCCGAATGGTTTATAACGCGTGCGCATTAGATCATAAGGTCTATCATTGAGTCAAGTGGCTTGGTTTTGATTACCCGCTTGGAAGTGACTTGTCCAACCTCGTGTGGATTGTCTGCGATATCACCTCGAATGAAGCGGACGTTAACTAAAGCTATTTCACACACACACACACCCACACCCACACCCACACACACACACACTCACACCCACACACATACCTCGTGTGGTTTCCTCGGGTCCTCCGAGTTCCTCCCACAGCCAAACCCTCCACGCGGAAGCCTCTACGCGGGAAGCGAATTATTCAAATAAAATCCAGCCATACTTTAGTCCCGAAATGACCTAATTCGTGCCGCGTGAACCTTAACTATTTATAGGTTTTTGGCCCGCTTGTACGTGATAAGGAGTAAGGTCGATGTCCCACCTCGTGGATTTTCTCCCACTGCTAAATCCCCCTACGCGCAAGCGAATCATTGAAATAAAATTGAACCATGTTAGTCTCAATGTGACCTAGTTTGTTTCGAGTGGACGTTAAACTCTCTCTCTCTCTCTCTCTCTTCTCTCCTCTCTCTCTGTCTGTCTCTCTCTGTCTCTCTCTCTCTCTCTCTCTCTATCGTTTGGTATACTCAATAATTACCAAATCGGAATCACGAATAAGAACATTTTGTGAATAAAATTCAAAAAAAAAAAAAAAATTGAATCTGCTCAAAATGATGACTTCAGTTTGTACACATAACACACAATAATGCCCGACAGTTTATGATGCAAAACAAATCTTTACAAGCATTCGGAACATCATAAAAGTACAACCAAACTAATCTGTCACCTGAAGACAGTAAGAAATGGTACCAGGTGTCTGTATGGTTACGTGTGTAATGCGAGGATGGCACCACTCCGGGATTCGAACACGTAGCATCCTAGTCTAGAGGCCAGTGTCCTGGTACTAGACAACCGCCCGAAATGATCCAGTTTGTGTCGAGTGGACGTTAAACCCCATTTATCTCACTTTGTCATAAAAAGAATATGTACAACAGACGTCCTCGTGCCTAACACGTCTTAGCACGAAAAATAGCCAAATAGGGTGTATCTTTTGTGATGAATTTCAAAAGAGACAAGAGACTGGTTCAAATGAGAGAGAGAGAGAACAAGAGAGCGAGAGAGTTTAACGTCCACTCGACACAAAGTAATTCAATTTTATTTAAATAATTAGCTTGCTCGTAGGGGTCTTTAGCAGTAGGGGGAAACCGGAGGACCCGGAGAAAACCCACGAGGTTGGACAGGCGACCCTACTCCTTGTCACGTACAACTGGGGAATCAAACCTACGCCAGTTGACTCAATGACAGACCTTATGATACAGCGCGCACGTGCTAACTATTTCGCCATCCAAACCCTCTTCAATAATACGTCGTATATGTGGTGCCACAAATTCGTTCCATTTTGCTGTACAAAGTATAATATAAAGGTGAACATTACGATGTTAAATCGGAAGAAAATTGTCCTTGTAGGGTCAAGTTACCTTGACCCCGGTCATCAAAAGGAGTCTGTTTTACGTACTTCATATATAGTCACGTAAATCTATAACATATAGACGTAAAGGAGTTGCCCCGAAATTACTTAAAAAAGAAACCACAAAGGCTTCTTTGTGACAGGACATCATATGAAAGAAAACATCTTGAAAGGATATGACCAGTGGACGCACGTGTCAAAGGTCTTATTTCTTACCCCCTGGCCTATCGCCCATTTCGTTAATAAAGTAAGGTATTTGGAGTACTAGGTAACAAAGGTGATTTAAAGCTTAATACCTGTATGATAATCCACACGATATAGGTATTACCTATAAAGGTATATT